GAAACGTCTGCAGGATTCCAGTCGGATGCAAGATTTGCAGGATTCCAGTCGGATGCAGGATTCCAGTCGGAGTTCAACAAGCGAACGGATGATATCCCGGAATATAGTGTCATCATATATATATATATATATATATATATATATATATATATATACTATATATATATATATATATATATATATATATATATATATATATATATATATATATATATATATATATATATATATATATATATATATATATATATATATATATATATATATATATATATATATATATATATATATATATATATATATATGTATATATATATATATATATATATATATATATATATATATATATATATATATATATATATATATATATATATATATATATATATATATATATATGTATATATATATATATTATATATATATATATATATATATATATATATATATATATATATATATATATATATATATATATATATATATATATATATATATATATATATGTATATATATATATATATATATATATATATATGTATATATATATATATATATATATATATATATATATATATATATATATATATATATATATATATATATATATATATATATATATATATATATATATATATATATATATATATATATATATATATATATATATATATATATATATATATATATATATATATATATTAGTATATATTACAAAAAAATAATACCCCTATAGCGAAATAAGACAAAACAGGAGGCCTTAATAAATTATCTGACATTTTCAAATTCCATACGCAACGAAATACAATAGATAATAGTAAACTTTTATTTAGACAAACCCATAATTCAGTGTATTCTGCGAAACCGTGTGAACTTGTAAAAATTGTAAATTTCGCCGACACAAATTGAAAAAATTTTGATGTATATGAGATATAATTAAATTACATTTTGCCAAAACTCAAATTATTTAAAACATATTAAGATTTGAATAGCAAAAACTTTATTAAAACACACAATTATTTTGATCATAGAATCAAAAAATGCTATAATACAAAGATGGTATGAGTATGTATAGCACGAGAGTAATTTAAAAAAGTAAAGTATGTTCACCAACCCTTATTAAGAAAAATGCAAAACTAAAAGAAATGGAGTTTGAACCAACTTACACTGTGGAATATAATTAGCCTTTGTTGCGGAAAACTAAAAATAAAACGATAAATAGCAATACTGAGATAACGGTTCTGAAATCGAATCACTTCCGTACTTTTTGAGAGTGGCAAGACTGATATGCTGAAAAAGTTATGGAAGCGATCGAAGCTCCACCTATACTGAAAATTTAAACTATGTACTAGCAAGAGTGAAACAAAATTGTATCCATGGACTGTTTTTACAAAAACCATGGTTTTGTTATTAATTACAGTAATTTAGAATTAATTAGTGAAGTTTATTGCCGTAACAGTGGCCGTCGTCAAAATAGTCGCGTTCCATTCCCCTCCTATATCTACTCAAAAAGAGAACTCACTTTTCTCGTCGTCTGGGAGAGGAAAGGGTGGGGGGGCAGTTCCATGCCGTGCTCTTTCAATATCGAGTTCGATTTCTCTCTAACCTTTTTAGCGTACTCGCACGACAGGTTATAAATCTTGAGACAGATACCTTCCACGGACACCCGTACCGTTTCCGTGAGATGGGGCTGGCACTGTTGCTTCAAATGAGCCAGGCGGTCCTTTAAAATGAAAATAAAAACGCCGACTAGTCGCGTCAATGGGATATAGTACCTGAAAATCGTCGTACGTCGCGCCGACAGTTTTCCTCAGCCATTGGAATGTTTCGTCCACGTTCCATTTGACCACCTTCCGGCTTTCCGGTTCCGAGTTGCGTGATTCCATTATCGACTTGGCGGCCTCGGCGTACCTCGACAGCTGTTTCCGCGCATCCCCTGTGAACTTGGGCCTTACCAGCTTGATGGGGATATCGTTCATTATCTCCTTGTACATCGAGAGTGAGATCTCTGGGTAACAGTTGCTGGGCAACAGGGGATCGTAACCTGCAACCGAAAGGCTTTCTACAGATTTCCATGTCAATGTATATAGTTTTTTCCAGACAACGTGCTTATCAATTCCAAAAGTGAAAGATAATTAAAAAAAACTTAATAGCCCTTCCTATATTAGTTTCCGTGAAAATTTGAAAACTTTCTTTTAATATGCTGCATAATATGCTTCAAAATGATCCTCCGATTTACTTTGGAATAAGCGAGAGTTAAACTTATGCCCAAAAACAACAATTTGATAACTATGGGGAAATTGAAATATTACGGGAGCGCACGAAAAAAAAAATTACTTAAGTCCTTCATAATAATCAGTTAACGATTAAACATGCCGTGGTGGAAAAACTTTGAAATCTTGGAATTTTTATCACAAATTCAGATTCTATGTAGGCTTTTAATAGAATTTTTTTAGGTTGTCGGTAAAAGGCGCTGTACACGAGGGGGATTTATCGTATTTGTCAAGAAAGACGATGATTCTACCTTAGTCACCGTCATACGTCAATCTGTTGCAAAAATGTACCCAAAAAGTAATGGTAGTCAAGAAACAGTATAGTATGCAATCCGTTTATAAACTTCTTCAGACACATTTATAAATGGTTAGTACCTAATTGGGTATTTTAGACAAAGAAGTAGAAAAATATGTCAAAACATCAACATCGTGCATTTCTTGACAAATCCGAGAAGTCAAAAGAAAACTTCAACAAACAAAAAAAGCCGTTATTCTGACATGGCATTCGAACCCGAGTTTTAGTTTTTTTTATTCATTATTTAAAGCGATCAATTTGAGTGTGGTTTTCGAGATATTCCACGTGTTTCCATACTATTTGGATGTATACAACATATGTACATATGTTGAGAATAAGAATATTACATAAATCAAACCGCATTTTACGCAATTAAATTAAAAATTAAGAAACCATTAAGAAATTGTTACTTTTCAATTTTTGAAAAAATAGAAGAGGAATACAAAATAAACTATCCTAATAAACATTTTCATAATTCACAATATTTTAAGATATAAAGTATTTATATTATTAAAATTTACTTTATCTATTTTAACAATTAACTCGAGCAAGTAACACTGTGAAATATGAAGTTAACCGCAACAGGATTATTAGATTTATTAGAACTGCTATTATATATTACACATATTCGTCGAGTCTAGGGCGATATGTGCGTAGCAACTGCTAAGAAAGGGTAGATCAGATAGCGAGCGCGAAAGGTAGCGTTGCAAGCGGAGTTAGACCATTTTTGTTCAGTTTATGATCTGTGTTATTACTACTGGAGATATAAAGAAATTTTGAGAAGGTCCATTCACAGTGCACATGAGCGGGGTTAAAAATCTTGTTTTTAACCAACGATCTTGCAGCATTCCACAGATCGTCAGTAAGTATTTTTAGGAATTAATTTTCGCAAAATATGTTCAGATCCCATTAAATCTTCAGACAAAGGAGTTAAGGGTATTGATATCGCTACTGAAAGAAAATGACCCAAAATGCAGGTTAGTGGTTGAAATGTAGAGGTGTGCACGAAAAATCATCACCTTCTCTACGAAAGGCCTGCTATATGACCCATTAACAATGTTTTTAACCAATGGTTTTGCGGCATTCCCAAGTCATCAAATTTTCAGGCAAAAATGAGTTAAGTGTGTGGAGATCGACGTTCAGAAAGAAAATGGTGCAAGAGTTACGTTAGTGCGTGAAATGTAGAGGCATGCGCGGAGGATCATTTCTGAAATTTGCGAATACATAGCCATCTGCGGCGCATGAATTTTTACCCTAGTATGCAATTTTATTCCCCCACATAAATAAACTTTAATCACCATCTAATAAGATTTATTAGTAAAAAACATGAGTATAAAAAATCTTGTCAAAATTTTCTGCTGCAAGCTTGGGACGGGCAAAGACAGAGGACGCTATCGTGTTCGTTTTCAGCGGAACTGTTGAAAAATGAAACGCTGGGGCCGGTGCTCGACTGAACGCGGTTCAATTCTCGTGCATGTTCATCTAGGGGCACCGATTTCGTGTGCCTAGGTTTAATTATTGAAGATTCCATCATTTTCCCATTATCATATATCGCGGTCGAGTGAAACGACGGGTTCGAAATCGCCTTGGTTCTGTGTAGACCCGACAGCTGGTCAGAGGGTGATACTTGAGTTGATTTGGTGGCCACGTTTGCCGTCTCCAATAAAAACTGTCGCCTGGCCTGTTGAAATTCCTCGAGTCTACTATGTACTAATTGTTTTTCTGCCAATTCTGTTTGGTCAAGATTGCCGAGTGGCTGATGTGTAGCCTGAGAACTGTACCATAATGTTTCCTGAGGTCTAGATAAGGTACTGGAAGTTCTGACAGGAAACGTTTCTCCCGATATGGAAGAATAAAGGCTTCTGGATATACTAAGTGAATCATCAGCCCGTCCTTGCTTTCTGGCAACAATTATGGGCTGACCTTTTAACGCGATTGGAATTTCAATAACAGTGTCCTCATCGGGATCAATAGTACCCTTGGGTACTAGGATTTTCTGACTTTTCTTGTTGAACATTGCATGTTAAAAATTTTGATTTTTAAAAAGTGACAATGACAAGTTAAGTCAAACTGACGTTCACGGAGCATAACTTACCAGTATCTATAACCTTCCGTTCCATAAGCCATCTATTAAACGAGTCTTTGGGCGCGTCGATGGACTCTCTTGAATGGCACAACTCTTGGTAGCACTGTCTCAGCTTAGCGAGAAGCGCGCAACGGTATGCTTCGATTTCTGGATGGGAATGCATGAATATACACGGCGGCCTTTCCAGAATAATCACATTCGTTTGTACGTCTAGATCCCAGGGGCCGGCCAAGACAAACTTTTTGGCTTGAGGCCCCCCGAGATCATCTGAAGCCCTTCTCTTGCCCACTGAGAGAGGTATATGAATGGGCGCGGGTTGTGGTAGAGGAGCGACTGGAGCAGCATTATGACATATACCTAAAGGATCAGTTATCGGATCGAACTGAGGCTTTACAACAGGCATCTCCCATAAACTCTCTCCAGTCAATTTGTTCCAGAAATAAGGACGATTCTCCCGTTTCGACCAAAACTTCTTCCAACCCTGCTGAACCAACTCATAAGGAAGTTCATATTCAAAGCCCTGATTTACAGGAGCTCCCTGTGGAGTGGTGGGCATGTGGGTGTGCTGAGGCTGCTGCGTCATTTGCGTGCTGTTACCTTCCGCTGGAGGCCAACTAGGTCGGTCCTCCGGTGTTTTGCCGTCCGCTTCTTCGTTCATATTTTAAAGAGTGGTTTAAGCCTTGTCGCCGTGTGATTTAACGCAATTCGTGCGCAAACCAAGCTAGAAAACACCAAACATCGAAGCCACCTTAAAACAAACCCTCGAAAATTACGATTTCTTGATGAAATTACGAACTGAAAAACACGCGATTCGTTTCAGTCATCGTTTACGAAAAAAAACTCCGTACGCTTCCACCTACGACGCCATTTGCTCACTGAGAAACGCGAAGGCGACCCAAAACAAACGAAAATTAAATCAAACAGCGCCGCATTGTATTGCGTCAGAATCGCGAACTAACGTTCAAATTGCCGACTTTTAAAGTTATATGCACTCCCCAAAAATATATCCTGAAAAAAAATTAATTTGGAACTAATAGGTATCCTAAATTTAATTAGTTAGAACTTATGAATTTGAAAAACGCAAAAAATATTAAAGTTGTATTAAAAAAAGTTATTGGAGAATAAAAATTCTTTTAATTCCTCATATCAATTGGTTAAAAATATAATCTTGAAAGTGCCGACTTGGCTATAAAAAAATAACATCCTACATTGCGTTGCATTCATTTGTCAAAACATAGGATATCTATAACGAAGCTTATAAATTTCTACTACGCGACTCATTTTATAGTAGGTTCCAGTAAGAGAGAGAGAGAGAGAGACAGAGAGAAACTATTATTTACACTCAGCTGGGACTAGTACGTTCCATATTCGTTTGTTAAAATTCATGCTGTTCAGCTTATGGTACTGATAAACTATACTATGGTAGGATTACAGACTATAGACATGGCACATCTATTCTAAGGCCATAGAGCATACTCTATCACTTTCTTTATCTCTGCCTCAGTTCTGCTTACGCATAGCCAGAAATTTCATAAAAATAAAATATTATCTTGTTTTTTTAACTGTAAAGTAATACCAAAGCTCACTTTGGGAAATCATTATGCAAAATAACATTTTCATATTTTAACTTGATAAAATGTGCTATCGGATTTACTAATTATAAATTAAAGTTTAAGATTAGGTTAGGCCTCATAAAGTTAAAAAAATTTGTTCTAAGCCATCGTGATCCTTTGCATTTTATGATTGTAATTTATGTTAATTGTCGAAGTTCTGCGGTAATTTAATTCGTCCTTGACTCAGGATTGGCGCCACATTGAAAAAAAATAAGGGATCCTTATTTGTGTAGAACAAGAAATATTTGTGTTTTGGTACAAACGACGTTAGGGACGAAATTTCGCTATTTGAGGCGTTTCTACATTGATGTCAGCGACGTTTGCGAGAACAAACGGCCCTAGGCCGCCACCCACGCCGCAGCAGATTCAAAAGCTGCTTGACGAAAATGGGCACTTGATCCAAACTATCCAGGAGTATCAGAGCAAGGGCAAATCACAAGAAGTAATGCAGTATCAGACTCAGTTACACAGAAATTTGGTTTGCCTGGCTACTTTAGCCGACTCTGCTCAAAACGTTAACTCTTTATTACCTGTAAGTCGGCCACTATAATTCAAATTTTGCGAGATTGAAGATTATATGTGCGATTCGCAGATGATTCAAAATCCCAGTACATCAGGACCTGGCGGACCTCCGCCCCCTCAGCCTACTCATGGACCGCAGGCGCCACCTGCTCCGGACCAACCACACATGAACAACTATAATCACCAGCAACAACAGCCTCCAGGTGGTCCTTATAGGCAGCCTCCTGGTCCCCAAAGGCCTGGTGTTCCAGGTAAAGTTATTTTATTTTCCCAAGCGAAGAATGCTCAAGCAGAAGCTATCTCTATCTTTTATTTAAGCGCCTCACGCATACCCTCAAAGAGGTTATCCACAAGGTCAATACCCGAATCAGTACCCTCCTCAGGGTCAGGGCTATCCTCAGGGGCAGTACCCGCCACCCAATCAAGCACCGGTCTACCCGCCCAACACTCAGGGCGGTTACGGGCAGCCGCCTCCAACGACGGCCCACAATAACTACCAGCAGTCTGGTAAATATTGATAAATGCTTTCATATCTACTCTATTCACTTATACCGTTTCAGCGTACCCGACTCCGCCCCCCACTAACACACCACCACAGGCGGCTTCAGCTCCTTACCCGCCTCCAGCTGCTGGTCCGCCACAGTCACAACCAAGTAATTACGGCACCCCTCCAAACGGCGCTCCTTATCCAGGCGGCACTCCTCCTCAAAACTATCCTCCCCAGCAGGGTTATCCTCCCCAACAGAATTACGCCCCGCCACCGTCTTCTCAACAGCAACAGCCGCCTGCGCAACCACCACAGCCTCCCTATGCCAACCAACCTCCATCTGCGCCGCCTCAAAATTATGGCAGTAGCGCCGCGCAATCTCCGCCCTATTCGGCTCCACCCACTAACAACCCGAGTCCTGCAGCGACCTCAGCGGCTCCCGGAGGTTTGAGCGGAGGAGGTCCTCCACCGACATCGCAGCCATACCAGCCTCCATACAATCCAAACTCTCAAGGGACTCCCAACCCTAATGCGGGGTAAGCTATCCCCTAATGTATTTTAGCGAAATTTTCTGGGCATGTGATGGTTGCAGATACACTCCTCCTCCGACTCAGTACACATATGGTCCTCCAAACAATGCGGGGTATCCTCCGCAGCAGTATCCTCCGCAGCCCCAGTACTCACAGCAACCACAAGGGTACCAGTATCCAAGACCACCCACCAGTCAAGGACCACCTGGTCCTCCTCCTCAGGGTCAGTACGGCTACAACTATCCACCGCAGCCGAATCCCCAGTAATTTGTTGCCACTCTTAGTACACAGAGTGTCGCGAAATTACTCGCCAATATTTATTTCACCCCCTAAATAAGAGATAAAAGATAAAAAATTGACGCCTAATTTCGGAACACCCTGTATAAATTCAATAATCAGGTAAAAAAATATAGCTATTACTTTTTATAAAACTTCTGGATGCCCCCTGCATCTGTTTTTGCTGCGTCGAACTTGCTGACGTTGCGCCAATCGTCCTATTGGCTTCTTCAGAACTGACTGAAACTGCCTCATATTTTATTCTGTACCTGCTTATATATTGTCATTCTCGGATGACTGTTTCCTAAATTGGTGACAGGTAGAGACCTGAGTCGCGGTTAAGATTGTTAGGTTGTTTATAGATTTCTATAGAAGAATTTTAGTTTTATCAAATAAAATTTCATGTCTGGTTTCATGAACGTGTTCTGCAACAGCTGATGAGTTTATTTGTCTTAGTCTTAAGGCTCTTTCGTGTTCTTTGAGTCTAGTTGATATTTTTCGTCCGGTCTCTCCAATATATTCTTTGCATACGCTGTAAACTCCTGGCATCTCAAATGGAATTTTCTCTTTGGCGGACCGAAGATTTTTGGACAAGTGGTAAATCTGGTTTTGACGTTATACTTCTTTAGAACTTTTGATATTTGGTCAGTGATGTTTTGAATGTAAGGAAGGACCACGTGTAGGATTGTTTTTGGCCTCATTGCTTTTGGAAGGTTGTGGTGAAGTGTATTTTCTGATGGAACGCTTAATATCTTTAATGCGGAAATTATTAGAGAGAAGAGCAGAGGTAAGGTGTTTTAATTCAGGGTTCAGTGACTCAGGCTGAGATAGTTTTAAGGTTCTGTAAACAAGATAACCGATGATTTTTGGGCTGGATGGTGATGTGACCATGCATTAAGTTCTGTGTGCGTAAACACAATGACCCAATGTTAGGTCTAATTTTCTATTGATAAGAATATCTAAGAATGGAAGGTTGTTATTAGTTTTCAACTCAATGGTAAAACGTATGTTAGGGTGTATAGAGTTTAAATGTCTAATAAAATCTTCTAGGGTTTCTTGACCATGAGGTCAAAAGTATCATCGACGTAGCGTTTCCATAATTTTGGTTTTAGATGAAAGGTGTCAAGAGCTTTGTTCTTAAAGGCGTTCATAAATATATTCGCGATGACTGGTGATAGTGCAGGACCCATGCTGTTCCCGACGTTTGTTCAAAAATTTGACCGTTATACGAAAAATACGTTCCCGACAGGCATTTTTCAGTTAAGGTGAGAAGGTTTGGTTCCAGATTCTCGGACTTTAATATATCTGAAATAATGTCCAGAGTTTCAGGAATAGGAACTTTGGTAACTTGTGTATCTAATGTAATGCTTTTTAATTGTTCAATGAATTGAAAGGAATTAAGTACGAAACTGTCAGTTTTCCCTGTAAGGGGATTTAATAAGGAAACTAGATATTCTGCAAGATAATATCTAGTATATCTAGTATACTAGGTAATCCGGGTTTGTGAATCTTTGGGAGTCCGTAGAGACGAGGAATTTTAGAATCATGAGGGGTAACAGATTTTTTCACGGAGTCTGATAGACAAGAACCCTTAATAACAAATTTCAGGTTGAGATCCATAGATGACGTAGGATCTTTTTTAAGTTGACAATATGATCCGTCTGTAAGAATATCTTGAATCTTTTTCTGATATTCGTTTGTGTCCATGACTACCGTAGCATTTCCTTTATCTGCTTTTAGGATTACAATGTCTGGATTGGATTTTAGAGATTTTAGGGCGATGCGTTCAGGCTTTGTAATATTGGATTTAGGAGGTTTTGATTTTTTAAGGATTTTTGCGGTTCCTTCGTCCTTATTAAAAGCCCTTACAGGGAAATCTGGTAGTTTCGTACTTAATTCTTTCACTTCATTGAACAATTAAAAAATATTACATTAGATACACAAGATATTCATTCTAGTTAGTTTCGACGTAGAATCCCTCTGTACCAAAGTTCCTATTCCTGCATCTCTGGACATCATTTCAGATATATTAAAGTCCGAGAATCTGGATCCAAACCTTCTCACCTTAATTGAAAAATGCTTGTCGGGAACATATTTTTCTTATAACGGTCAAATTTTTGAACAAACGTCGGGAACAGCTACGGGTTCTCCACTATCACCAGTCATCGCGAATATATTTATGGAAGCCTTTGAGAAGAAAACTCTCGACACCTTTCATCTAGAACCAAAATTATGGAAACGCTGCGTCGATTATACTTTTATTTGGCCTCATGGTCAAGAAATCCTAGTAGATTTTCTTATACATTTAGACTCTATACACCCTAACATACGTTTTACCATTGAGTTGGAAACTAATAATAACCTTCCATTCTCATTGTGAAAAAAAAATACGCACACAGACCGATACCTTAATGCATGGTCACATCACCATCCGGCCCAAAAATCATCGGTTGTTTGTTGCTTGTTAACAGAGCCGTAACTGAACCCAGAATTAAAACACCTTACCTCTGCTCTTCTCTCTAATAATTTCCACATTAAAGATATTAATCGTTAAACCAAAAAATACACTTCGCCACAACCTTCCAATAGCAATGAGTTCGGAAGCAATCGTACACTTGCCACTGTGGTCCTCCCTTACATTCAAAACATCACTGACCAATTATCAAAAGTTTTAAAGAAGTATAACGTCAAAACCAGATTTACCACTTGTCCAAAAATCTCTCAACATCTTCGGTTCGTCAAACACAAAATTCCATTCGAGATGCCAGGAGTTTACAGCATTCCATGCAAATGCGGCAAAGAATACATTGGAGAGTCCGGACGACTCAAAGAAACTCATCAGCTGTTGCAGAACACGCTCATGAAACCGGACATTAAATTTTATTCGATAAAACTAAAATGCTTGCATGTAATCAGTTTTTTTACTAACATTCTTAACCGCGACTCAGGTCTCTACCTGTCACCAATATCAGTCCGCCGAGGCGGTGTTTATGCGCCTCATTTAGCTCCGCCCCCGTCAAACAATATTTAAGCAGGTACAGAGTAAAATAGAAGGCAGTTTCAGTCAAGTTCTGAAGAAGCAACAGGATGATTGGTGAAACGTCAGCAAGCTCAACTCAGCAAAAGCCGACGCAGGGGGAATCCAGAAGTTTTGTAAAAAGTATTACAGTATCCTGTTGAAATTTCTTTGCAACAAAAATATAGCTATTAGATGGTATAGTGCTATGGTAAAAATTGTTGCGCGAGGTATTGATATTTTCATAGAGAAGATACCAACTAATTCGCAATTTCCTATATTATTGGCATAGGCAGGCCTCTATATATCTAGTAGCTATATGGGTGAAAAGGATTTGTTGATTAGCTGGTGGTGTGTTTCTTTTGTTTTTTTAGTGCTCCATTTTTCCAAAATTCGCAGTACTTAATGTTTAGTTTCAAAATCATAAATATAGTTTTTTTTTACTTTTCTATTTATTCACAAATTTTTGACTAATTTCTTGAACGCTCCTTATTGTATTACGAATTAGAAAGTATCAATAAAGCAATAATCGTTTCATTACGCCCAACAATTTCAAAGGAACTCCAACCGCGTCAGAACTTCTCGAACTGGTCAATGAAGAGGTTATGTTCGCTGACTCTGAGGTCCGTTTCCGGGTAATCGTCGAAATTAGTGGTATCCGACAGGTTTTTCGTTTTGGGCTTAAACGGCGGATCAATTTGCTTGTTAAAAATGCCCTCGAAGTTGGTGTGTTGAAACCACCGGTGGGTCTTGATGTCGGCGGTGCCGCCTCTCAAGTTACCGTACCTTGACAATTATCATTTTGACCTATCGACCACGCATAATGGAACGAAACTTAGATTTTGTTGGACATCGGGCAATATTTCTTATATCATCCTTTGAAACTATGCATAATTTGTAAGGATGGTAAAAAAAAAATCGTGTTAAAAAAAAATTTTAGGCTTGTGAGGGTTTCCAGAAACAGTTTTATTTGTATAAAAGAAACAAATCCAAAACATTAACTCAATCTAATGCTTTTATATAAAATTTTATGTAAGGAAAGTTGTATTTTTGTTTTGTATTGGGCGTCTTGCGTATTTTATGTTTTCATTTGAATTACATTGTTTAAATAAAATGTATTCATAGTCGGTATTTATTGATAGTTTATGCATGGATAGATCAATTACTTACAGGAATATTTATAAATAAATTATTTTTAAAATATAATTGTTAAAAAAAAAGGTAAATATTGGTACAAAATATGTACAACTGTTTGACAGCACCTAAATTATTTTTCTATTTTTTTTTTCGACATGCAATGCTTCAAAATTTTATTTTTTCATTTGGAAACGGTAAATTTGCACAAGTTATTCCTTAAATTTTGATAAAAAGAATGATGGGGGTAGTCTAATTCAATCCCCTTAGTCAAGTAACATCGATTACTTGAAAACTTATTAGGTTTGAAAACGTTTAGAGCTCGTCGTGACGGGGCCGATCCGATGCTGCAGTCGTTTTTAATCCTCAATTATGTCACAAATCGGGTTTTGGCACCAATACGAACAACTGGTCTAAATAGCACATTTTTTCTACCGTACCACAGGGCCAACAATGGACGTAATATATTCATCGCAAGGGCGGCCCGGCTGAAAAATGAGAACTAGCATTTGGACTTTTTGAATACTGAGGGTGAGTTTAGGAATCAGATTCAAGCAAGCATAACATAATATAACATAGCTTACATTATTTATTTATTTTTCTTTACTTAACTGGCTTTTACTTTTAGTATTTACTTTTGTAGCAACCGGTAATTTAAGTGTGCATTTTTTTCTAAGTTTTAAAATTAAAATTAATAATAAATAAATAAATAAATACTTTTAACATGGTTCTATCGGTTTGGAAAAAGTTAATTTCAAACTACTTTGGAAACGACCAAATACATGTTGCCTAACGACAATTTTGAAACTACCATATGCGGTATTTATTTTTTCCAAAAAATATTAAGCCCCATGTCCAACACGTAACATGGACTCGTTCCATTGTGCGACGGGAAGAAAAGAAATCCTGCGTCACCTTCTGGTCAAATCGACTTGGAGCAAGTTCCTGACCAGATCGGTCAGTTCGAGGGTGAAAAATCCCGGACACTTGTACTTGCACGCGATGATCTTTTCGTACACCCTCATCGGATCGTTCGATGTGAACGGCGGAAATCCGGCAGTCATTTCGAATAGGAGCACACCGTAAGACCACCAGTCTACCGCTTTGCCGTAACCCTTGCTGAGGATGATCTCGGGTGCGATATATTCGGGAGTGCCGCATAATGTCCAAGTCCTACTTTTCACGATCTGAATATCGGGTTCAGATCTTTCGCTGTGGAAGACGTTGTGAGCGTTACCTTGCAGAATCCCATGTCTGCGATCTTCAGGTACCCCTTGGCGTCGATCAGGATGTTCTCGGGCTTGAGGTCCCTGTAAAGGACGTCGCAGTAGTGGAGAAACTCCAACGCGAGTAGTACCTGAGCCGCGTAAAACTTTGACAAAGTCTCGTCAAATTTATGCACCCTGTAATTGAAAAATTAGACGTTACAGAATAAACTCGAAACTCCACATTCAACGTTGTTGAGTAGCTACTTATTTTGAGATTCCTTTATAGTTTATTTAATCGAAACATTTTAATTAATTATTATCGGGATTAAGCACAGGAAAACCTGGAGAAACCTTCCATTACATTTTCTCATAAATCCAAAAATGGCGTAGTAGACCAGATTTGTCATTTAAAAAGGATGTTAGTTAGAAAATTATTACGTACCTCGTATTTTAGCTACTATTTTCATTGCAGTCAGCACAACCATTCCAACAACTTTTGCATTTAAATTTTTTCGATAAAATGAACCCTTATTAAGATATAAAAGAATACCGACATATAGAGGCACTACAATTTCTTTGATTTTAAATTAATAAGTTAGTGGAGGTAAATATGTCCCAGTTATAGAAAAACATACAAACAATTTTTTTAAACCTAGCAAGGCCGACCCCTTTACCAACGTGTCTGTATGCTGAGTCGCACATATCACTGTTGAAATGTCACTTCATCATTGTGTCGTTTGCAGTCAGTAGCGCGTATCTTATTGCTCTCTTATAAATCAAGGTTAAGGGAGAAACATTTTGGGGATTTAAACGAATACTGATAGTCGATATACATAAAAATATCTTAAGTTTTCTACTAGTATAGTACCAAAAAAGTAACTTGAAGAGTTAACGGCCGCACAGCGATTAACTATAACTATCACAACATTTTTTTATGAATAGGATGCCAGCCTTCCACGTTAAGGCAATGTTTTCGTTCGCTTTCCATGAACAGCGTGTAAGTTTAACAGCATATGATTTTGAGACCCAAACTGTGCCTACAGAGTTGTTTTTTTTTTTGTGCAATCTACTAAACAAGGTTTGTGTTTTTATTTTAGTTTCTTTTGGATGGTATTTTCAGTTGGTTTTTAGATGATTTACTGTGGTCCACATTAACCATCATAGTTGGATAATGTAGCCATATGAAAGGATGTTTGAAAAAAAATTACACAAGACACTTAAACCAAATATGTAACTTGGAATTGGACTGATCTGGTTTATTAATTACAATTAAAACAATAAACAAAAGTAATTAAATTAACACAAAAAATGTTTAAATTTGCACAGTTATTTATGACAGCTGTTTCGGCAACACCGTGCCTTAATCAAATACCTATAAAATTTGATAAAAGCACTGTGTTTGCCGAAACAACTGTCATAAATCATCAAATAACTTTGAAAATCTGAACTTTTTTATGCTAATTTAATTGTGTAACATATGTTTATATTTTTTCAAATAAAGTTTTGCAAAAATGCATGTTTAGGTGAGGAGATTGACATGATGAGTTATAGGCCAAATTACACATCAGATCAAACAATCCAAATTTTTATAGAAGGATGTTATGAGATCATCAGCATTACAGTACCGCCTGAGATGGGTAAACATTTCCCCGCCATTAATGAACGGCATCAGCAAGTAAATGTAGCTGTTGTCCTTGAACGCAAACTCCAACGAGATCAAGAACGGGAAGCGGGCCGACTCCAGGATTTTCTTCTCGTACAGTGTGTGCTCCACTTGCTTCAGTTTAACTATGCGCGACTTGTCCATCACTTTCATCGCGTAGTAGTTATTGGTGGTTTTTTGCTGCACCAGGAACTACGGATTTGACCATGTTTGGCAGTACTCTCAAAACGGCACCAAAAATAAGAAATATTTACCACTCGGCCGAAGGAACCACTGCCCAACGTTTTGATCCTCTCGAAGTCCTTCAGTCCTTCGGACCCGGACGATTTGTTTTCGTCCCATTTTTCGTAGAACTCCTTCCGAAGTTTCTCGAGGGTTTCACCGTAGCCGCCGCGAGTCCTGCCTCTCTGTACAGTCGAAACTAAACGTCATTTAAAACTAACCTAACATTCTGTGTTGATTGTGGAGTTTGGCGGAGGTGTCGGAGAATTCCGCAACTGTTACTGGTTACTATTTAGATAAATATTCGCCGTTATTTAAATTACAAGGTATTATTTAATTCGCATCGTAAAAACCAGTTAGTTGCTCGAGGCCCCGCTCTGGTGTTCAATTGATATTTTATTTGGTGAAATTGGGAATGGTAATACCAATAAACAAACAAAACAAAACATTTTTGTTTTAATTGTGCCTTTCGCATTTCACGCTTGTTTAAATCTATGAAATACATAATACAAACAACAGTAATCGATTGTTAAGATAGACTACATCAAAATGTACGATGGTTGTGTTGTCTTTAACGGTTAATTCGTTACTGCTGAACTATTATTATTAATATACTAAACTATTGATATCAAAAGTTGATTGTTTACGTTAATATTCTAGGTCTCTAACTAATATATGAAGAAAGCCAGATTAAACAACTTATAATATAAATACCAAATAACACTGTGTCTTATGCAACAATATAATTAACGATGAACATATTCTTTTAAACTCTAACGCTCGATCATAGAATAGTTTAAGTAAATCTGCTTATTGTTATTTATTTATTCTGATGGATTTACTCTTATATAATTTTTTATCTAAAGGCTTAGGCTAAATATAAACAATCACCCCGTAATATTAATAATTATTTAGTTCTGTACTAATATGTAGGATAATATCTAAGGTAAAAATATCTTAACAATTGAGAAGTGGGATGTGGAAAATAATAACTTTGTTGTAGTTATTGACATAATTGTAGATGAATACAACTTTGTATAATCTAAGTTTAAAACTAGTTCCTCTGACTGTTTGTCAAGATCAGTACATAATGAAACTTATTGATCTGGTATTTGTCAAGATCAGTGCATAATGAATTCAATTTCTCTGACAATTTGTCAAAATCATTACGCAATGAAACAGATTGCTCTGAAATTTAACAAGAACAGTGTACAATGAAGCTGATTCCTCTGACATTTCATCAAGACCAAGGAGTAGTGAAACTGATTCCTCTCACAATTTCTCAAGATCAATACGTAATGAAAGATCAGTGTATGATAAATCTGATTCCTCAGACACTTCATCAAGGGTAATGAAACTGTTTCCTCTGACATTTGACAAGATTAGTGTATAATGAAGTTGATTCCTGTGACACTTCATCAAGACCAACGAGTAATGATACTGGTTCCTCTGAAAAATTGTGAAGATGAGTACGTAATGAAACAGACATTTGACAAAATCGGTGCACAATGAAGCTGATGCCTCTAACATTTCACCAAGACCAATGGATAGTGAAACTGATTCCTCTCACAGTTTGTCAAGATCAGTACGTAATGAAACGTATCATCTGGTATTTGTCAAGATCAGTGCATGATAAACCTGATTCATCAGACACTTCATCAAGGGTAATGAAACTGATTCTTCTGACATTTGACAAGATTAGTGCATAATGAAGTTGATTCCTCTGACACATCATCAAAATCAATGAGTAATAAAACTGATTTCTCTGAAAATTTGTCAAGATGAGTAGGTAATGAAACAGATTCCTCTGACATTTGCGAAGATCATTGCATATTGAAACTGATTCCTCTGACAATTTGTCAAGATCAGTACGTAATGAAACTTATTCATCTGGTATTTGTCAAAATCAGTGTATAATGAAACTGATTCCTCTGACACCTTATCAAGACCAATGGGTAATGAAACTGATTCCTCTGACAATTTGTCAAGGACAGTAAGTAATGAAACAGATTCCTCTGATATTTGACAATAATAAAGCTGATTCCTCTGACACTCAACTGCCTATTTTTTTTATAAACAAAGTGATATTAGAGTTAATCGATATACTCTATTACGTTTTAAAGAGCAAAGCATTATCGGCCTCCAAAAGCTCATAGTTGCGTACAATAATATAAAAAACGCACAGTCATATAGCGACGAGAAGCTTAGCGAAAATAAAATGAAGATTAGTGTTGTAACCTCGTACCTGATATGCTGAAGAACCTTTGACCATTTCCCTGACCTCAGTAGGCATACGGGAAGAGGTCTTATCAGCCTTGTAGGCCCTCGCGGCACTACTCAGCCTCTCCTTCGTCTTCCGCATATCTCGCGACCCTTTCGGTACGGACATGTCGCTAATATATGGCCGCGACGAGTCGGACGTTGACGGCTTCAGTCATCGGGCAACCGTCACTTGCGTACAAATTTCCGCCATGACCTCTCTCATCGAGAACAAAGCTATGAGGTTGCGGGACGAGGCGCAGAAAAGAATGAATTCTACCGGGTTCCTGCAAACACTTTTCGGCGGTGGACGCAAGATCGGAGAGGCCATCGACTATTACACGAGGTGACTTTGAAATGTCCATTCGTCAATTTTTACGATTTTCCGTCGAACTTTAGAGCGGGAAACCTCTTCAAATTGTCGAAGAACTGGCTCCAAGCAGCCACCGTCTTCGCCGACGCCGCCCAGCTTAATTGCGAAACGCGTGACCATCTGGAAGCGGCTATCGACTACTCCGAGGCTGGCGAGTGTTTCAGGAAATGTCAGCAGATCGCAAAAGCTGTCGAACATTACCTCAAAGCTATCGCATTGTATTTGGAAATGGGTGTGTTGTCAATCTTATTCGTATCAAATTGGCCCGTAATTATCTCAACTTAATAAAAATTGACGCTAGGTGTACGCGTGCCATAAGTGAAATAGATTTAGAATTTTTAGAATACTTCTGGCTATTTAAAATTTCAAAGGTGTTCAATGATTTTTGAGTAGATATGGAAACACTGTTGTAGCAATTTTTCAAATTGAGATCAAAGCGGATAACATGCCGCTTTGATCAATCAAAATTTGATATCAATTTTGCCTTCAGGTTGAACAATTTGTTATTATGCTTTTATTCTGAAATTTGCCATTTTTAATAAATTCAGTAGGATTTTTTTTTCGATAATTTGTGTTTAGTTTAATATTACGTTTTTAATTTAAAATAAGAATACTAATAATTATGCAGCAATATAAATAGGATAAATTAAGTTGATTATGCCAGATTTATTTCAGCTTAGTAGAAGCAATACCTAAGTTTACCATCCTCCACTTCTGCGGGGTATCTTATATGTAGACTTCTCACCTGCTAATTAAAGAATTCGGATTTAGTTTCACCATCCAATTGCAGATGACAGCAGATTACCATTGCCCCATATAAATTTTCGCAATTAATATAAATTACTACTTTTACTAAAATGGGTGCTGTAAGTGTAGTTATTTTTTAAAAAAGGCATGTTTTTTTCTCCATATTTTAGAAATGACAGGGATGAAAGATTCAGCATTTCCAGCAATGAGTCGGTAATGGTATCTCACCCCTCACAATATATTATTCTATGGTTTTGATAGTCCACTCACAAAAAAAAGCATTTCATTTAGAGTTTAGAGGTCGGAACTTGAATATTACACATATTACTATTTACAAAACTTCTGCATTCCTCCTGGGTTGGTTGTTGTTGAGTCGAACTTGCTAACGTTTCGCCAATCATCCTGTTGGCTTTTTCAGAGCTTGACGGAAACTTGCTCGCATTTCACTCTGTACCTGCTTATATATAACAATGTTTGGTTGCTTAAAGACTTCTATAGATTCTCTAATTTTTCGTTGGTAGAATACCAACATGCAAGAATTTTAGTTTTATCGAATAAAATCATATATCGGGTTTCGTGATTATGTTCGGAAACTGCTGATAAGTTTATTTGTCTTAGTCATCAAACTTTAGCGAAACCATCAAACTCTTCTTAACTACCAAACACTGTGATAAATGTATCATCGCATCAACTTTCGGACACGAAGAAATCGGTATCGCAAAAGGCTGCAACTTCGTCCTTGCCCCACGTATTATCCCAAAAGAGAAAATCATTTCAAATATCGACTCTATCCTAAACAAACTGCCATCTCAAACAGCTAATGAAATTCGATGTGAAACCGCAAAAATCTGACAGTATATGGTTTTCCTATTGATAATAAGAGTTCAAACTTTTACGATTTGATTTTCGCTATTCAGAATATTTTGGCTCGGTCTAACCCACCCAGTAGTAAGTCTGACCTAGCTCAATCGTTTTCCGATCGATGCAGGGAGATTTCTGGCCGCGGCCAAACTTCACCGCACCGTTGCGCAAGCGCTGGAAGATGACGGCGACATAAACGGAGCTAGAACCAATTACGAAAGGGCTGCGGAGTTCTATCGGGAAGGACGTCACTACGCGTTGGCGAACGACACGTTGCAAAAGGTGGCGGAATGCGAGGCCATGGCGGGCCGCTACCGCAAAGCCATTAAAATATTCCAGGAGGCGGCGTGTTTCGACTTGTCAGACGCAGCATTACCCCAACGCAATGCCGCCGAGCACCTGTTCAAAGCGGCGATATGTCATCTGTGCAACGACGCGAGCGCCACTGCGACCGCAGCAGACAATTACTGCGAGATGTGCCCGCAGTTCAGGGATTCCAGGTAAACGATGTAGTTAAAGCGCTTAATTTGCAACAGCTTGGATTGGCGTTAAGGCGTTAAATCGGGTAAGTCTAGGTCTATTTAGTTGATGGCAAAGAGCTCCATTATAAAAGAGAGGCGACAATAAGCGCAGGCAGCTTTGAATATGGAGGTCCAGTTGTTGTGATCTTGCTTTCGTCTCGATCGCTTTATTTGTAGCCGTTAATAGATTAAGGGACAACTGATATACAGGTGTAGAAATTAGGAAAAATTTCTTTTAAAGAAAGTACCTAAATACGCTTTTTTTTTCATTATTATTTTATTTATTGAATGATTTAGATTGTACGCAGGAAAAAGCAAACAAATGCCTTAATATAATTACATCAGCTCTAAAAAGGCTAAATAGAATATAAACAAGCACAAGCAATGGTAAGGAAAAAAATATGCACTAGAAAAAACAAAAGAACTGCCAGAAAATAAACTCATACTTGGGAAGTACCGGAAGTTCGGAAAGTTGAATATTAATAAGAAACGCAAGAAAAGATCGTAACAACTTACAATCCTAAGACCCTAAGACTAGGCCGAGTACTTCAAAAGACTTCTGGTTGACAAAAAGAAAAAAAAATGCTTAGATGAAGACCACGAAATTTCAAATTTAACGGTCGTGGGTCTCCTATCAAAATAAAGGCAGAAAAAGAGAAAATACAAGAAAACAAAAAAGTCGAACTAATAAGGGCAGTCAGCACGACACACAAATAATAAAAGTTAAAATTAGAAATCATTTTACATCAATAAAACAAGTAACGAAATGACTGAAGCAAGAGTGGGTGTATCCCACTCTTTTGAAAACACATCTGAAACTCCTTAACGATCTAATGCTATACACATTATCTTTTGCGGATGATCTTAGCCCAAGTTTACAAAGACCTAAATTACATGACAAGAAAACTGATAATTGAGATGAATATAAAGTCTGGGCAATGGAAATAAAGAAATAATATCTAGGTTATAATTGCAGAAGATGGTACATTGGAAAAAGAAATTAAAGATAGAAATGGACAAGGCAGGAAAGCAATAGCCCTGCTAAACGGAATCCTTTTGGACAAAAGAATATAAAAAAAACATATAAGAGAACAGTTAAGAGGGCCGTAACATATGGATCAGAAGTATGGTTAATTAAATAAAGTACGGAGAAAATTCTAAGAGCAAACGAAATGGACTTTTGCAGGCGATCAGGCGGAATCTATAGAAGCGAAAGAAAAACCAACGAATGAATTAGGTAGATTGTGGGAACACACATACCAGTGATACCTCCAGAAAGACTTTTTATTCAATTATTTTAATATAACGAAATTGATTTAACCGGTATATTTTATATTCATATTTATCGAGTATTCGGAAATTTATATTTTAAGTTCTAAAAACAATATTGTACAAAAAAAGACATTATTTTATTATCATTGAAATAATAATAATTATTAAAGTAATAATATTTACAGGTTTTTTGTATCTGTTTTTTTTTTGTTTTCATGACAGAATTTATATAAAAAAATAACTCTAATAAATAATTTGGCAAGTTAATTGGACGGGAAAGGAATATATATGTATGTACGAATTTAGCGTCTATTAAGGAAAATATATTTCTTGCTAAACACGTTTGGTAGATAAATTTTCGAATTAATTTTGTTACTAATCTAAATATAATTAACAAATTGTTTAAGCGGGTTTTTAGGCAATCGGAAATATATTCATTTGTACATTTATATATAAAGTTTGAAAATATTAGATATTTTTGAAACAAACGCTGTTATTCTAAATTAAATTCAATAAAATAGCACAAATTTATCGACGAGTATTTTTAAGGTCCAGTCTAAAAATTACACTGGCAATATCCACACTAAGTTCAAGGCATAAATGAAACAATATTCTATAAAATCAAAAAAAAAAAAGATCACAATCAAAAAGCTAAGGAAGACTAACTAATAAACACACTTCAACAATGTGAGAGAAGCTCTCGGACTATTAAGAAAACGAGAAGATTCATGTTTTTTTAACGTTTATACCCCGGACCTCCGATAATTCGCCTAGAAAATTGGGTTGATCACTGTCGCCTCTCCTTAAGATTGGATGTCTCCATTCTATGGTTCCACTCAAATAAAACAAAATTTAAGTGAACACGAACTGATCATGCGCCTGGCGGAATGCGTCGAAGACCGCGACCTTGAAGGCTACGCCAACGTAATCAGAACGTTCGACACCTCATCCAAGCTGGACGTGTGGCACGTCACGATGTTGCTGCGCGCCAAAAATTCGATCGACGCCGAAAACGACTTGGGTTGATAAATAAATAACCGTTGCCTTATTCAAAAATTTTATTTTACTCTCAACTAATATTAAACAAAGGTTCATCTTCGTCGTATCGCTCTTTCTCTTCCGCCGCGTCACTAGCTAACCCATGTTCTATATCATACTGCCGTAACCACTTGTCGTCGTCGTCTTCGTCCGTTTCCATTGCAACGTTGCCGATGTTGTCGCCTTTGCCGTCTAGGTTCAGTTTGGGACCATCAATGCATGCGAAGGAGCTACGGTATTGCTCTGCGATCAAGCTCTTCACCATGTAGGGTCCTTCGAGCTCGTATCCGAGCTTCCTGTAGTAGTTCCTGGTTCCCACGCCCGATATAACCGCCATTTTGGTGGAACGGTGCTCTTCTATTGCGATCTGCTCGGCCCACTGCATTAGCAACGCGCCGAACCCCTGGTGCTGGAATTTTCTGTCGTCTCGACCGCTCACCGGCACTACGCTGCCGTACACGTGCAGTTCTCTGATAACTGAAGTGTCGCCGGCCAATTCCGGACGGTAGGTGGTCTCCTTGCTACATTTTCTCAGCCTTAAATGGGTCGTTTTATTTATTAACTTTTCATTTTTCAAAGAAACTTCCACAGGCTACTGTAATACTATTTACAAAACTTCTGGATTCTTCCTGCGTCGGTTGTTGCTGAGTTGAACTTGTTAACGTTTTCTCTAAAACTATTTCAGTCAAGCTCTGAAGAAGCCAACAGGATTATTAGCGAAACGATAACAAGTTCAACTCAACAACAACCGAAGTAGGAGGAATCCAGAAGTTTTGTAAATGGTAAATACTTTTCATATCAATTTATAGAGTGTCTTAAAAAAAAAGGACAAGAGAACAATCACAGAAACAGCCATTAACTTTTTTAATCAAGTAATTGCAATGACTTTCTAAAACTATCAGAGTTATCTGAAATTAAACACGAAACATTATCTGCAAAAGCTGTATATCGAGGATTAGGGTCTATAGCCGCAAATTGCTTTACAAATAAGGTAAGCCCCGGTATCGAACCCCGGCGTTCTTGGAGGTATTGATTCCATGTCTTTTATCGACTTTTTTTATTATTCTTAAAAACTTATTATGATCGACTGAGCCTAACGCACTGCTGGGATTGCAGGCGATACTAACAGGGCACTCCCTCATATCCGTTAAGTTTCTCATAAAAAAAGTATATAGCTGTCATCATACTTTTATTATTTCTAAATCCATACTGCTTTTCCGACAATATTTTATTATTTTTTAAATGATTTAGTAGTCAATTTAAAATAATGGGCTGTTTTATTTAACACCCTGTACATACGCTGAGCTGTATTTGTATATATTTTGTATATACCAAGCTCCACCAGTGAGAGGTAGATATAAATGTTGGTTTACTTCAACTACATTTTTTTACAATTTAAACCGTATTTCCATTCTTTGATTTTGTAAAGAGGACTAAAATATTACTTTCAATAATAAAAATGATTCGTCAATCGACCGAGACCCTGTATACGCGAACGGACTATGTTGTTTTAATCTTAGACGAACAAACTTAACACAGTTTTATTTTCTGATAATACAACATTTTATCAGATTTATCACTTTTCAGATATTATCAATCTTGATTACCATAAGACAGAAAGTAAACTTTCTCAATATTTCTTTGCTAACCAATTGCCATTCATTGATACAAAATCACAAGAGAAATACCAATATCGGAACAACCACTAACAGTTTCCAATAACAATTTTCACTCTTACTTAACTATTCGTATTATCTCTGGGCTTGATTACAGAGAGTACTTGAGAGAACTGTCATTCAGCTAATATCAGAGTCCTTAACTTCAATCAATACAATTTTATACTAAAAGCTATTTTCTCAATTTTTGTTGACTTTAAATTTCTCCTAATCTTATTTTGTTCTTATGTTCATTAATGTCATGTCGTGTAAAAAAAGACCAAATATATATCCAAAATTTATACTTTAAATTTAATTTAAAATTTTATATTTGCAAATATTTATTACAAGTCATAACTAATAATTTTAAAAACATAGTTTTTTCTTTCTCTTTTAACTTACAATACTACCTTGTATGATTTTTTTAACAATACACTATCTATTTATTATTACTGTCAACCAGACTGAGGCATAATTAATACAAATCACAGAGATATTTTACGCATCAAAACATGACGTCATTGATGGATCAACGTCGATTCTAATTAGCTGTATTATATGTATGATATAAGATATAAAAATAGAAAAATGCAGTAGAAAGATAATGAAAATTTCTACATCTTCCAAGTGAGTTCAAAAATTAAGTTTAAATTTTTCATATTGAAAAAATATTTTTTTTTTAGTCATTTTGTCTTTATTTTGGTAAATAATTTATCTTTATTATGGATATAAATGTTATAGGAGAAACTTCTGTAAACTTAAGTTTTTTTTATTTAATAGATTTAATAGATTGTGAATTTGAAAAAGAAAAGTTAATATCTATTAAAATTTAAAAATTTTGAGATTTTTTTTCCAGGCAAATCCTTTAAAACAATTACTGACTATCTGTATGACTGACTAATAGTATGTTATAGTTTGTGAAGCAAATGAACCTTTAAAAATATACTCTAAATTTTATTTGAAAAAGTATTTTTTTATAAATGATAAACTCTTCAGTATTTGGCGACGAAGACAATGACGTCCTTATACTGATGCGTTTATGTATATGGTATTTTCTTTTTGTTTTTTGATATACAGAGACCTTCATTATGCTAATAATACAGGTACTTTTGAAGCCTCCATAAAAGAAAAATTAAGATTTAACGGCGTTCGATAACCGACATGGCTGCTGCTTGTATCTGGCATTTTTTCGACAGTATTTTCTCAAAATAAGCCCAAATCTCATTAGATGTTCCATAAATTGTGTGGAGATCGCGGATTAGAAGAATTTAGGGGCATTAACGGAAGATTCCTTCCCTTCTCTACATATCATCCATCATAGCAACCTGCAACATACCTCAGCAGTCCGACCAGAATATCCTGGCCGGGATCCTCGTAACTCAAAAACGTCTCCCATCCGCCATTGGCGACGTAATCTCGACGGACGGGCTCGATGTCGTCCGGACGCATTTTTTCGTGGATTTCTGTGATGCCCACCTCTCTGGTTCGCACGTCCCTACATTTCAGGCCTAAATCGCGCATGCGATCGAGTGCCAACTCTCTCAAGTTGCCGTGCTCGACGCCCGAACTAAGACACGAAAATTTGTTGACTGCGGACCATAAGAGGGACGTGTTTAATTTCTTCACCTTACTAGAGGCATGGGTATGTCGCGCTGCACCCTGTAAACCCTCGTCCAAGGCGGTACCAAACCCAATATTTTCGCGATTAAATCGACAAGCACGGACGGCGGGTAGCTTTTGTAGCGACCCGTTTTCCACAGCTCGTACAGGCCCGTCCCTCTGATCACCAAAGTCGGATATATTTTCAAGCCGTCCGCACGAAACGCCGGGTTCTCGAAGAATTCCTGACCGCAAGGAAATAATCATACATCCGCTATGTAGCACGTGATCAACCATTAAAATTTTACAGGATAAAATCAAGCACATTTCGAGCTCGCGTTTTAATCGACCCGGTATCAAACTCGATAATAGGTTTGAGGACAATAAGCTGTTATCTGATGGACAATTAAGGTATGAAACGGGAACTGCCTGTTCCAAACACGAATCCGCTTTTTTAATTGTCAATGAGCAATAACAGAATATATTGAGATACACTCTTGGCCCATAAAAGAGGCCATACAAATTTTAAGTAAAAATATTCAATATTTTTCTTACAAGTAATTTGTAAAGGTATTAATTTTTAGTTTTTTTTTAATTGTTTATTTGAGTATGGGCATGTGCGTAAATCAAAGTTCAATTCTCATTCTATTAATATCAAAAAATAAAGTTATGAAACATCGATTTTAAATTGCTTAAGTCGTTTTCCAAAATTAGGGTTCATTTTTTTTTATAAAGCAAAGGAATAATAAATCGGCAAATGATGTCATCAAAACCTGATATTTTTTGACTAATTAAAAAGAAAACTTGATACGATTGATAGGCGCGGATCTAGTTTTTTTTTTCAGAAATCACTGTAGCTTTGTTTTTGGACACTGGAAGTGGACATGGAAATTATTTTGAAACCAATGCATGGTGGAAGGGCTAAACTTTCATGAGGATAAATTCCCGATTCATTTTGTTAATCTGGCATTAGTTTGAAGTCGCCACTGTTTTGAAGATTACAGTGATCGGGGTCACGGCGAAATTACTCATATCATTGTTGAAAAAAAAATCATACCAGGTACTTTTACAAGTCAAAAGAGAAACACCAATATTTTAATATTATTATTATTACTACTTTTTCTACTAGAAAATATTTTTTGTCCCATAACTACAGTAAAAAATGTAAAATTGATAATTTAATGTCAGAAAATGATAGGAGTGAGGATCTTATGGTGGTAACCTATAATTCTGAACCTAAGAAAATTATATTAACATATAGGACGATGACAGTCTAAGTCTGATACCAGGTACCATATTCTTTGAAAATCACCTGCATTAGGCTTTAATTTCGCTCTTATTTGTCAATTTTGACTTTTAATTTGTGATTGAGGTTAAATACTCACTATAAATTGTTCAATGTCCCGTTCTAGATCGACATTGGGCAAATCAGGCATCATATGGGCGACGACCTTGAACCCCGCATCTTTTGCTAGGTTAAACGTCTCGCACACAGCTTTTACAGTGTGGCCTCTGTTTGTGTCTAAAGCAACATCTTCATAAACTGACTGGACGCCTGAAAAAAAAAAAACAAAACTGAGCTACAGAACAATTAAGTCAGTTTCGTACCAATTTCTAGGCGAGTACATCCATATTTCAACATATCTGACAAATGTCGCTGTAAACAGTAATCGGGCCTTGTTTCAATTGTGATTCCGATACACTTCGAATTGGCCCTTTCCGAATACATAACTGCCTCCTCGACTGAAGCGCTCTTGTGTCCCGATAAGGCGTCGTGCAGATTCCTGATGAAATAATCGCGATAATCGTCAGGCAAGCTCATAAATGTGCCGCCCATCACGATAAATTCCACCTTGTCGACAGAATGTCCCAGTTGCTTCAACTGGTCGACTCGGTGTCTCGTCTGCAAGTAAGGATCATAACGAGCTCTTATTGCTCTCATGGAAGTAGGCTCGTATCCCGTGTAACTTTGGGTTGAATATTCAAAGTCAGAGTCTGGACCGCCGGGGCAATACACACATATATTACCCGTCATGTTGATATGGGGACATCGGTGCGGTTTACACATAACCGCTACCACTGCAATCTACATATAAGAAAACAAACCATGGGTATTTAATATGTTGACAAAAAAATCCTACACTAAATAATGGTTTTACAAATGTTTTAATAAGTACAATAAATTAGATTAAAATTATTCAGACATACTCCGCTAGCCGTTCTGATTGGTTTCGCTAACAACTTTGGCACTAAAGCCTTTTTATGATTAGCAGGAACTGCAGCAATTATGTCCACCAGTCGGGGCGAAGTTTCTAACCCATACTTAGATGATATCCTATGTTTAAGCGCGTTCAGATTGATGTCTTTCTTTTCCTCTTGAGATTTTATCAACTCGTGCACAATTTCGGCCACCGTGATTACTCTGCGTTCTTCCACAGTGAGGTGGGCGAATTCTAAAACGCATTTTGTTGAACAGAAGGATAGATTTTTATTGGGGCTCTGTTACCGTTTTTCTTTTTCCCCATATTGTAGTCACAATTACTGTTATAAATAAACAATTATTTTTTTACCTATTACGAATTCGAGGTTAGGTTAGAAAAGTAGTTCAATTGACCAAAAAGAACTAACCTGAAAAGAGCAGAAAATGACAGCCCCTGTGGAAGAAAATAATTTGACTAACGAAAATTCTCAAGAAGCAATCAAGGAAACTAAAAAACCATCAAAGAGAGGAATTATCTATCTATCGACGATACCTCCTTATATGAATGTTACAAAAATTAGAGAAATATTTAGCGAATTTGGTAAATTAGGTAGGGTGTATTTACAGCTGGCTGATAAAGGCAAGTGAATTCGCGATTAAATTGTAATTAGTTTTAAATTTTACTTTCTATTAGGTCATGGGGATAAGAAAAAAAAGAAACGAAAACCCGCCAAAAAGTTCACAGAAGGTTGGGTTGAATTTGAGAAAAAATGTGTGGCCAAACGTGTAGCAACATTATTAAACAACAGTCAAGTAAGCACAAGGAAAAGTTCTAAATATTATGATTGTACATGGAACATAAAATACTTGTCAAATTTCAAGTGGGCTCACTTGCATGAGCGCCTCACATATGAGAGATCAGCGAGAAACAAAAAGCTTAAGGACGAGATACAGCTTACAAAGAAAAAGGCCAACTTTTTTTCTTCGAATCTAGATTCTAAGAAAAACAAAGATGTGGTCAATAAAGAGTATGAAGATATAACCAAAATAGCCACCGAAACAGCCATGGAAGTTGAGGATATAGAAAAAGAAAGCAGAGCAGAATTCTTGAGATCATTATTACCATAATGTACCAAAGTGTTCACTTGTGTTTTTTGAAACCACACAAATAAAATATTTTTTAAATTGTTTTAATCATGGTACAAAGTATTGGAACATAAAATGAGTAAAGCCAGAATTTATTTCCAACTAATTTATTGTCTAATTTTAATCTTCTCTGGCATGTCTTGTGGTTTGCCTTCTCTACCCATAATTTTTTCTCCAGCAGCATTGATAGCAAAGTTGTAATCCACTTCATTCTCCAATGCAATCTCTATAGCTGCATCTATATTTTCTGGTGTAATAAACGTTTTGGAGATTTCCTTTTCCTTTCGCACTAGCTCTTCGACAACCTCTGTCAATTTTTCCTGTTTGAGCATCTCGTGGCTAATACGTTCCTTGGCAAATGCCAGATCTGCTTCCAATTGGCTGGCGGCGCGTTTTTCGCGCAAAATTTTTATTTCGGCGTTCCATTTTTCGTTTATTTCTTTGCATCGTGCAAAGTCTTCAGCAAAAACTTGCTGTTGTATTTGTGGATCCTCATTGGTTTCGCTTAAACTCTGATATTTCCTTGTCAAGTACTGTCTCAGTGATTTAACCTCAGTCCTGTACTTGTTATTCAGACGTTTCAGTTCTTCACTCTCGTCGTCAGGTATTACTGGTCTCTTCGGAACCCGAAACAATTTACTTTTGGCGGTACCGAGCCATATGGGTTTTCTCCATCGAACGGGTTGAAATTCAGGCGTCAAACGTTTTATTGTTTCTACTGATAATTTGCATAAACCGATGCTTGGTGTGAGTCGTAACATTGGTAGAAAATATATAAAAAAAACTCGCATGAACTAATTTTCAGGTTCTTTTTTATTTACTGCTATTGGTAAAGTTTTAGGTTATCTGTTCTTCTTTTTAAATTCTATTGTTCGTAATTGGTAGAATCATTCTACCAAAATGTTTTCTTTAGCTTGTAAACAACATTTGGTTTGTCCTTAATATAGCGATTGAATTGGGATGTTTTTACATCTAAATCCACTGCAGCCTCAAAATGATATTTGGTATGCAAAACAATTTTTGCTCTATTTTTCATTGTGTGGGCAAATGGTTTTCAGATTTTAACCAATGTCTCTTGTTTATTTATTTTGAATATTGGACCGTAGGTGTCGCTGTATCAAACAAGTTGTTGAGGTATTTTTTAGCAATTCTTTTGAGGAACATTTCTTTTATTTCTTGGGTTTTACGGAATCGCGAGTTTTAACGGAGTTGCTTAGAAATACGAATAAAAGTGTTCAACAGTTCAAGATGAATACCAGTCATTCGCCTGGTAAGTTTGGTATTTTGATAAGGGATCCTGTTTGATCAGATATTGTCCCGGTACCCTTCTAGTTCTGCCTTTTATTTTCCAAAATTATTCTTGAAGTAGTTGGCAGATGATAATTTTTTCAATTTTAATATTTAATCGTTATTACATGACGTGTCAGACAAAATTGTGTTGGCGGTGCCATTCCTTGTGAATCCTCACTTTTAAACTTGTTGTTTGGGCAACTTTACTAAATTTGGTGTTTGCGTTATAGTTTAATTACTCATGTCAACATCCTTAATTACAATGGTAGAACAATTAAACAGTTCGTTTGAGCCCTGTCAGTAAGTGCATGTTAGGTTGCATAGCTTGTGTGAATAAATGGCTAGAGGTGAAAGTTTGAAGCCTAAAAAAAAAGAAACGGTACACGTCCATTTCCCGTTTCTTTGCTCGTGATGTGGTGGTCTTTGAGCGTCAAATTTTCAAAGCAGATGGATATAGTAAATATAAAGTCACATCATGTGTATATAAAGTGATAATTAAAATGACTGAATCCACACATACCAGTTTGGATTATATAGAGGATCCATATTTTAATCCACAAGATAGTACTTCCACTCCGAGTTTGGACGAGAGCGACTGTTTGGACGATTATGATTTGCTAGAGAATGAACTAGAAATTTTTGACTTGAGACAATTAGATTTTGATGAAGTTGTAAACCAAACTTTGCATAATGACGACATGGTGAATGTAGAAGCTGAATTTTTTACAGTAAAGAGGGCAAACACAATCATAAGGGCATTTTTCAGAAACAAATTAAAGAAACAAGTCAGGGTTACTTATTGTGATTTATCAAAGCCTTACTTGGCCAAGTTACCAAAAGACAGTAATTTTAGAAAATATTTAGATATTAGTATGACAGGTGGTAAGTGTTAATGGTCTTGTCTGTTGTTTGAGAGATGATAATACCTTGTTCTTGAAAGACAATGAGGCAGTCCAATTTTTCAGAAGAAGCTCTGGCGGCAGATCACATTGTTCCTGATCTGTCCCACCTTACTCCGGAAGAGAAGGAGAAACAGGAGAAAATCTGGCGTGAGGAGCTTGCCCAGATCGAGGATGAAATTGCCACATTGAGGACTGTACTGGCTTCCAAGATGCGTCGTAGTGCTGAACTTAAGCGGAATCTGGGCATAACTTTCCTCAAAGAGGTATCTGATGACATCAACCAGGGCATTAAGAATGTCAAAGAGAGCAATGTGTGAGTAACTGATGCTCAGTTGGTAATCTCTTACAATGCTTGCTGTGTTGAATATGACCTATTCTTCATTTGTTAGATTTCTAATTTTATTTTCTGCTGTTCTTCTGTGAACTAGTTGTATGTAAGATATGTTAATCCAAACCAATTCTTAAAGCTTATAGCTGGTTTTTATGCAAATATAGTAAAAATGTAAATTTCATAACTGGTTACATAGGTGGTGTGCAAAAAATCTTCAGCTGGTAATCTCTGACAATATTTGCTGTATATATTATACTATTGTTGAATATTACCTCTTCTTCATTTGTTAGATTTAGATTGTTGATTTTATATTGTGCTATTGCAATATGAGGTAGTACAGTAAGAATGTACATTTTTTGGGTTACATAAGTAGTGTGCATGATTTTTTTTGGTTTTTCTGTTGCATCAATTAGGTACCAAACAGTAGAAACAAAGGTGGGGCAAGTAACAAAAGCAGTCACTGATGCACCCATGTGAGTAAAATTTCTTTACACCGCATATATAAATTGATATGAAAGTTCTCCTGAATCTATAGTTTTTGTTTTATAAACTAACAGTTACCAGAAGACCACCTCCATCATAGGCGGCATCACGGGTAATATTTCCAGCAAACTTTCTCAAATGAAACAATCAGAGTCGTTCCGTTCTTTTGAGGAAAAAGTTGGGTCTGCATATGAGAACGTAAAGGTGGGTTAATTTGTAGCAGGGATATGGTTGGAGGTTAAAATCGTCGGTTTTAGACGAAAGTAGCATCCCGTTCAGGATCACAGCAGAGCCTGGACGAGGCTGGTAGATCAAGATCGGGCTCGGTAGCGACAAGTCCCAGCATTCCGGAAGAAAAGCCTATAGCATAAGGCCTACGAGCGTCTAAATCAAACCAATCAGTGACCGATGAATGCCTTTACATAATGCTTTTTATTTTAAACTATTTGATCTATCGTTTTGTTAGTTCAAGTCTAGTTTTTTTTTTTTCGATTGTGGGTGGACTAAATATTATGGTGAAGAAATTTATTATTTATAGATGCGTAAGAAGGCAAATTGCGTTACTTAAAAAGTATATTGTGGAGTGGCTATTTGTGTTTCTTGTACAGGTCTAGCTAAAATGCCCAGCTATTTTTACATGATAGTTTTTCTGGTAACATGTTGATTACTTAAATGTTATAAGTGTAAAATCTGTATCTCTGATAATAAAGAGACTTTTGAAATATCAACTTACAGGTCTTACAATCTAAACTAACCATTGGTGTTCTGTGACCATTAGTTTGGTAATAAGTTTTGGAAAAAAGTAAAGGCATCCTTTTACTAAAAGTTTATTTTAAAAATACTTTACTAATCTGAAAATAAAATTCTCCAGTCTACATCACTAGTCACACATTAGTCCCGCACCAGGGACAACCTAGCCATTACAACGTCTTCTTCCTGTTGGGTGCATATCTCATAGTTATCGCGTCCTTATTTTCCAACAACACACTACGGATATTTTGGAACGGCATCTCGAACACCAAACTCAACACTACCGACAACGCGATCACCCACGAGTACTCTTGCAGGTTGAGAATCGTTGTGAAGAAGCCGTAATGCTGCACTGACCTGGTTGTTCCGATGTTGTAGAAAAACACCGGGAATTGGGTCAGGTAGACCGTGTACGAGATTTTGGTCCAGAGCGTCCAGACCGGCATGCAGAAAAATTTACCCACCAAGCCTGAAATCGAAACGCCCCTGATGTTTGAACCAAAAATCAAATCAAATTAAAATCGTTTTAATATTCTGCAAAAGAAAAGACACGCTTAAGCATCTTTTGTCTCAAGAAATTAATTGTAAAAACAACAAAAAAAACAGATATATCAAGCTTTAGTTATAAATTATACCTGTAGGTGGCGGCCTGTAACATTTATAAACGCACACGGTGTTGCTACTTTTCAGTTTAAAACTTTTTTTGGAAAGTGACGGTGTTTTTATTTCATAATTTGCAAAAAAAAAATCCTCACCTTCACTTCACTAATCGCACTTACATTTATGGTAAATTTATAAAGTTATAGTTCATAAATTTAATGCTTTTAACGAAATTTACTTTAAACAGCAGTAACCGAACTATAGCCGGTTCCTTTCTATCTATGGCCATTACCTTTGTAACCGAGTTGGGAAGTAAAAATTATCCATGCAAACGCCCCTACCCACAAGATAGGCGAAACGGCTGCGTACCAAGCTGCGTCGAGCGGGTCATACACGTAGTCTATTTTACCCATAAATGCTGCTCCGAAATATGACACGAGAAAGCTGAGAAGGGCAACGGTGTTGCCGATTCGTAGCTGAGTCTGAAACAAATAGGTCAATTGACATAGCATGGAAAAAAATTATTATTTAGATACGCATGACAAAACCTCGTTTCGTTTCTCTAATAACGATCTTCGATGTCTGTTTTATTGGGTATTAGGAGTTCGAGATATTTTCCTCGTTTTTAATGAAAACCATATCGATAATGGATATAGAGGCCCTGCCTATGCCGATAGGAACCTATGAAGCAACTGTGAAAAAAAAACATTGAGAAGGTTCATTCAACAGTTGCACATGCGAGATATCGAATAAATACATAAAATAGAAGCATAAAAAAACTACATATAATTATGGCCAAGGTTAGGCGGACTTACCATGGATAAGCCATTGAAACCTATTAAGAAATAAAGTCAGTTATGACTGAGACAATTTTAGCGTGATGAAAAAAATACTAGTCTAATACTTTACATCAAAAATATTCTTCTTGTAGTTTGTTACGGAAAACTCGGTCCATCTTATATAAAAAAATAAAGTGAATCTCTCGCATTGTTCGAAATCAAACTCGTTCAATTTATAAGTCTGGTTTAGTTGTGTAGGTAATTATCAACCAATTACTGTGGTGTGTGCGTTTCGAAAAATAATTGAAAAGATTATCAAGAAAATAATAATATCTTTTATTTGCAAAATTAGATCTTAGGAACGCAATGGTACCAAATGGTGTTATAAAATCATACCTAACATACAACAATACGTTAACATGAATTTATTTACAAATAGACAGGATTAGGTTTGGCGTTCCACACGGCGCAGTGTTGGAAACTGTGCCGTACTTCATGTGTTTTCTTAAATTGGAAGGATTCAGGTTTGATGGCAGAATATTTTGCGTTTTGATGCTTTATAGTCCCATGTTATTCCGTAACAAATTAAAGATTAGTAATAGAAAAGACTAGGTACATACTTTTCAAACAAAAAATACGTTTATTGAACCGATTTAAATAAAAACCAATAATAAACAACTTGATCGGGTCAATAAGATTAAATATTTAGGGCTAATAATAGATGAAAATTTCAATTGTACTAAGCATCTTGACCATTTACATAAAAAAATAGCTCATGCTGGCAGTGCATTGTTCAGATGTCGAAATTATCTAATTCTTTAACTAATTTTAAAAATCCTGCAAAACAAAATATAAAAAATTATCTTCTTATATGACAAACTGACACAACGGAGGACGTATACAGAGAGATGGGTATTCCACGGTTAAGTAGAATATCGAAGATTGATAAACGTAAATATATATGCAAAGTTCTAAAAAAATCACAAAAATTTAACTCAAATCTTATCTTTGCGAGAGATATTCCATACTATTAGAGCAATATTTATAAAGGCAATGTTAGAATTAATAGGTTCTTCTTCAGAGTTTAATAAATTGCCAGAAAATTAAAAAAAATCATCTTCGTATAGTGAATTTGTTAGGATGTTGAAATCACACTTGATTTAATTAATTTTGAAAAATGTTTAAATATATGTAATAAAAAAATATTTGTAATGTATTAGGAAAGGCTACTTAAAAATATTTTATTAATTTTGGATTGTGATAGAGACTGATTTATTGCAATGTCTTGACATTCTGTTTCAGTGCTAACGCCACTTTGTAGAGGGCTATGTAACATTGTAAATAAGGTCGGGTAATAAATATTTTTTTTACAAAAATAAATTTACTGTTTTCACTATAGTACTATTTCATTTATCCGATAGTTTTGCAATTTTGCTCTCGTAGGTGGACTTATGAGTGGTGCTTCAAAACTGAGCGGTATTGGTGAAAAAACGATTTTTAACATCGCGATTATTCATATGATTTAGGTTTTAAGAGTTTACTCCGTCAAATTGTTTTTTGAAAAATTATAAAATTAGTAGATTAATTAAAGATATAAGTTTTGAATATGTGAAGCATGGTAGCAAAAGTATAATGTTAGAGCGATCAGACATAATTAATTGGCGACACAGGTATTTAACAATGTTTAACAACATGTATTACAGCTCTTGGCGCCGACCAAGTTTTCTTAGCGATTACCACGACGAAATGAACGGCGGGTCTTTCGAGCAATAGTTTGAGAAGGACTAATTCCCAATTTACCTAACAATGGACAAAAAATCTTGTTATCATGAATAATGATTCCTATAATTCTTGCAAATTCAGATATCCAGTGACCTCATAGAAAAAAGTCGAAATTCAAGATTGGTTGTTTTAAAAAACATTTTCTTTGACGACTCTTATTTGAAATCAGAGCTGCCGGATGTTGACTACGCATACAGCAATGAGTATCAATGTGAGCTTAACCCTATCGAGGTGGTATGGAATCAAGTAATATTAAGTAATATAAGTGGCAAGAACAACTCCGATTTCAATACAGAACATGTTCGTTCGTCAATAGATGTTGCTGAACCAAATTGCAGTAATTATGTTCAACATGTCATAGAAAAAACGAAGAGGAAATGTGGTCCGTTGATAATCTCTAAGGCAACGTCGATAAACTTGCCCACCATAATACTCCACGCTGTCTTTGCAGTGTGATTTGGACTATAGACCATATGCCACGATATTCAAAAGCATTTGAACCAAAAAAAAAAAAAAAACAAAAACTAACGCTCGGTGCCTGATTATGCCGCGTTAACGTCGCTTTCGTTTATCTTCTCCCAAACTAGGCGACCTGATTACACGGAATCAAAAACCGAAAACACCAAGTTCACGGTCGCAGTTTCCGACACGTTTCTCGCCATGAACGACGCGCCTGACGATCGACGCAGTCTTGCCGAGCTGCGACGCTGGTTGAAGCGAGAAAAATGGCTCCACGCACGCACCGACGACGAACACCTGTTGCCGTTCCTCCAGATCTGCAAGTACGACTTGAAAAAGTCCAAGCAAAAAATCACCAACTTCTACCAAATGCGCAGAGACAGGATCGAATGGTTCGGCAACAGGGACCCGTCGCTACCCGAGGTCCAAGAACTTTCCAAACTGGGAGTATTCCTTCCGCTGAAGAAACTTCACGAGAACCGACTAGTTTTAGTTATCCGCACTGCCGTACACGACCCCAAGAAACACCTAATAGACAACGTCTTCAAAACCGGAATGATGATCATCGATCTGGCGTGCAAGCATCACCAGGTCGTCGAAATTGCGGTTATATTCGACATGAAGAATATCGGGTTTAGTTACTTCAGACCGTTCACGCCTTGGTACGCCGCCAGGCTGGTGTTTGCCCTCGAAAACTACTGCGTCAGGCCGAAACGTTTGGAGTTTGTCAATGCGCCAGGTTACTTCAACGTTTTCCTTCGGTTGTTCACCAGGTTGATGTCGGAGAAGATGCGAAACCGCGTCACGGTGCATTACGGCGGCGCAGAGGTTTTGGCGAAGGTGATCCCCAAGGAGATGTTGCCTCCGGAGTACGGAGGCGACGGAGACAGCGTGGAGGATCTGGTGGATTACTGGCACGAAAAGATGTCGCATAGTCGGCGTTGGTTTGAAGAAGATGAACGGTTCAAGGCGGAACGACGTGATAGTAGAAAATGACGAGCCAATAATGGCTGTTAAGTGATTTTTGGTGACGTTTTCTTAAACGGGTACGCAATTGCGAAGAAGCCGCAGTTGTTACGTGTCTTGTATATGATGTAATAACTTCAACCACTATTTGGAGGTTCAGATAGGATCGTTGAAATCTAATGTAGTGACTCGATTTTCAACAAATATACGCTCAAAAAGGATCTATCTGTTTCAGTGATGACCAAACACAACAGCAATTAATAAAAAAATTGCTCAAAATCGTGATAACGACTGTTGAAAAATGGGTATATGTTAAGTGCGAAACTGATTCGAGTCGCTTCGGACATTTCCGGGATGTCAGTCAATGTATTCGTATTATTTTTCAAAAATGTACCCAAAAACTAACGGTCGTAGAAAAAGTATAGTATGCAATACGTTTGGCAAACTTTTTAAGTCACTTGTTTATTAAACACTTGCTCCGCTCGTACGAAATAAACTCTTGACTCAAATGCCGTTTACCACACTTGTTGCAAAATATACTATTACTTAAGTTGTGTTATGAACGTACAAATAAAAAGAAATGAGCGCCACAAATGTAACAACTTCACTTTTCTTTAATGTAGCACCCTGTATATGTTTAATTACAATGAAACTCCTTTTTAACCCGATTTCAAAAATATATTGTTTGCCGCTATTTGGTTTAGCAGTTTTTGAAATAACATAGGTTAATTTTAATAATTAATAAAGTAGATGATGATGATTGATGATGATTCATAAAAAAAATGAAATAATAATAATAAATAGCTTTATTGCTTTTACTATTACTAACCATAAAATTGACAAAATTATATACCGAATTAAAATTGGAAGCAAAGGGCTAAGAAAGCTTAGACATCTGCCACTCTTACAGCCCAAAATATAGTATTAAATTAATTGAAGGGAATAGACAACGCTCGAAGTGGGAGGAGAAGGAATGAAAGACAAAGAATCTTGCTAGTATTCAATTTGTTCTCCTAAAAGTTAATTTTTAAACTTATTTTTCAGTGCCCATAGCGTCCGATAAAACCTACAATTTGATATGAAAGGTCCTTTCGAAATGTTTTTTTCTATGCCGTGGCACTCACCTAACCAGATATGGTGAAATATAAGTTCTACGTCTCCTCCTCCTCCTCGAGTTTTGAATTTTTATTGATTAAACTGTGATATCACTAGAATATTCTGTGAGAGACAGTGATAATTACTATACATTAATTTTAGATTACTGTATGCAGCTTTTCTAGATTTTAGATTCTAAACTTTTGCAACTGCTACAAAAAGGCAAAAGACAATTCTTTAGAAAATTTAATGTTGGTTTTAATATTGTACAATAATTTGCATTTTTTTATTCAAACAATGAAAACGTAAGTTCTACGCGATTATTGGTGAATATTACTGAATATTGGATAATAAACTCCAGTTATTTCAAAAACGGCTGAACCAAAACCGGACAAACTATATATTTTTGAAATCAGGATCCAAAAGACTTTCATTCTGAAAAAAAAATATGAGATATGTTCAGAAGATAATAGCAACAATCCAGAAATATTTTATACTAAAAGTTTTTACCTAATTATTTCGTTTTGCAAGATGAGAGTCGTGATTTTAAAATTATTTTAAAATTAATGAATACACGTCTCCAGGCGTATCGAAAGAAGAACCCCATAAGGATTTATCAGATGTTCCACCTAATCATCTGATATGAGATAAGGGACACAACATCACCTTATCCCGATAGCAATAATAAAAAATAGTTCTATATATAAAAGTTGGTTTGTGTTGACGTACGTTTTGATTTTTTAACACAAATATGTATCCTTAGCAGGGTATTCAAGACTTCCTGAAAAAAAAATCAAATCATTAAAAAAATGATTCTCTTGAAATGTATTGCTGTTTTGTTGTTATTTATTTAACGATAAAATTGTTAAAAAATGGGGAACTAATCTCCATTATCTTTACATTATCTTCAAGAAAGAATACTTAAGATTTTTTTTCAAATCCAGAGAGGTTCCAAAAAATACACGCACAGTGTTGTCACATGCAACAAATGGGAAATTGTTTTATCAACTACTTAAAAAACCATTGCAGGCGACCTTCCGGGCACCTTGAGGCAACGAGATCCCGATACTCTTCGTTTTTAACTTCGTTTATCGAGAAACGTATTCGAATTGACTTAGTCTTTTAGTTATTGCTTTAATTATTGATAGTAAACAGCTAATGCACTTCATTAGGTAACGATACTTTTTTTCTAGTTATTTTTTGATATTTTCGTAAATACATTTCAAAAAAGCATCTGGTATATTGGTGCAGTGTTTCCTGCTCTTTATATGCTAAGATGAGTAATCCCTCTTTCTATTGAATTCTTTCATCACTGAAATGGATTCACTACACAGCAAATTTGCATTGTGCAAGGTAAAAAAGAATTCTTCAGTCTATTTTTTTTTTAAACTGGCAGCCTTCTGCATCTACTTTTGATTTATTTCCACCAGACATAATTTTTGTTTACTTTTTGTTCGAAAAAAAAAATTAGTAAGCACTCATAATGCACAATTAAGAACCCCAAAGATATAGCAAATCATTTTAATAACTACTTCATTCATGCAAACATGCAAGATATCTGATACCATTAAAACTCCTATTATGTCATTTGAAATAAACAAATCCACTCTAAATAACACTATATGGTAACAACCCATAACTGAAAACGAAATGATTTAATACATAAATTCTCTCAAAAACAACAGCTCTCCTGGTAAAGATAAAATATCCATAAAAACTTTAAAAATATTATATAGGCATTACTGACACCTTTACCACATACCATAAATATAATTTTTAAAACCATTTTAAAGGACGTCCAGTTTTCAAACTTTGAAACAAACAACAAATGAAAAATTACAGACAGAAATTTTTCGAGAAACGATAGATTGTTGTAATTTTTTGGTCAAAACAATATATATTATCAAAAAATCAGTATGGCTTTACTGCGGGGGTTGGTACAGTTGCAGCTCATTAGGAATGTAACTGCAAACCTGAATAAAAATAAAAAATATCTTCGGGTATTCCTTGACTTATCTAAAGCATTTGATACGGTTTCGCACCCTATTGTGTAACATGTATGTAGCAGTATGGTATCAGAGGAAATACATCTAAACTTTGACAGAATTACCTAACAGATCGGGTACTGTATAGAAAATGTTATTGCCGAAACAAATATTGTAAGAATTTGAATATCCCAAGATACAGTACTTGACCTATTGTTTTTTAATGTCTATATAAACGCAATAAATGATTTATCATTTGGGGCATAATAGTGTCATATGCAGTCAATACAGTCATAGTATTTGTGGGTGATACATGACAAGAAGCAAGGACTAAATTATAAGAGGGTTTATTGCAGATTAAAAATTTTTTAGATTCTTTTAAAACATGTCTAGAAGCGAAAAAATGCAAATATATGGACTTTACTAGAAATTATGTAAATAGACCGAGTTTTACTAAATATCTGGGAGTATAAACAAACAAAAACTTAAGGTAGGACACTCACATCACAAACCTTGCGCAAAAGATAAAATCACTATTGCATAAATTTTATTTATTAAGGGAATTTCTTACAAAGAGAGAATATTATTATTGAATATCTTAAACAAAACACCATTATAACGATAATTTTTCAAAAACCAATGTTTTGTTACACAAACAAATGGAATAACCAGAGGTAGAGAGGTCTAAGTCAACACACCGCTATATTTTACGGGCCAAAATATTATAACCAATAGGTATCAAACGAAATAAAATTGCTGTAAAAAATTTAATGCACTTGGTCTAAATTATATGTATAACGTACACTATTATTTTATTCACTTAGAAATTCTTACAAAAACGTTCTCCATTTTTAATAAAAATTATATATCTAGTATTGGTCCTATATTTCCAAAAAAAACCTTTATATACACAAGCACATTTGTATTTTTTGCCTAATCCTTGTGTAGGTTTACCAACGGAACTAACGCTTGGGCTATCCACCCGCCTATATAGGCAAAATAAAGGAATGATCTAGAATCGTCTACAGTAGAACAATGGAGAAGCAATAATCTTTTGTTGCGCAGCTTGCTAAGTTCAGTCCATGATTATGAGTTAGTAATTTAATATACTTTATGTGTAATTACTTTAAGTTCAGTCCATGATTATGAGTTAGTAATTTAATATACTTTATATAATATATTATACATGTGTTTCATACAATTGTCGAAAAGTGTAATGAAGTTCGAATGTCGATGCTAAACACAATAACAGTTTTTTAACGGGTGCTTACAGGTAAATAAAATATATTTTAAATCATATAATTAAAATTTAGAAATGTAGACGGAAAATTCCGAATTCGATATTTATCGTTCTTTGTTAACCCGACAGTAAACAAATATGGCTATAAATCATGTAACTACTTATATTTCAACCAGAAATATAGTGCTTTTACAACCAATCCCGTGATTCACTTTGCCTTCTGTCTACTACTCCAAAACCGCAGCCCCCTTATAGAACACTCTGTCTAGCAGACCCTTATCCGTAACCATTCCAGGGCCCTCCTAGGAATTTATTAGTACAAAGTAACAATTTATTACGTTCTATTTTATTACATTTCTACATAGTATCATTATTAATAAACAAAATATTAAATATAATAGTAATAAAGTATCAGTAACTTAAAAAATCGTCACTATCGCTACTGAAGTCACCTAGTTCAAGGATCAACTCCGCCACTAACTGTTCTCGATAAATATTTTCTTTTTTTATTACTCGCTTTTCACAGTTAGACCAGCTTTGTATTGATATTTTAGCTGCTTGCCGAATTACGTTTATGGTACTATCACTAAATGTTGGTGCAGTGTTATACATATATATACGCAACATCAATGCTTAATCAAACTCAAAACGGTCCATTTACATTTCAAATAAAAATTTCAAGTTTCGTTACGGTCCATCTCGGGCTAAACATACTTAATGCAGAATAAACATCTGTTGGGATGGATTTTAACACGGTCTTGCGAAGGTCTGCGGTTAAGGTACTGTAAAATACTTAAAACGTCAAAGCAATAAATGCACTATGTTTTTGGTCGTATTATACCTACATTTATAATCTCGTTTTCTAAAAATATTAATAATAACTAATAACAACTAATAACACAGCTATACAAATAAAAAAAAAATTTGCACTGAATATCTGTGAAAATGTTTATGTTTTCAAGTGTCCAGATCACGAATATATATATGAAAGTATTGAATGTGCTCTAATTTTTATGATTTTCACAAATCTTATAATTTGAACAATAATCAGCTTTTTATTCATAAAAATCGATTTCATCAGTCATGATTAGGCTTCTGCACAACTTTTTCGCGAATACAAACATCACGTGATCCCTATTCTTAGCGATCCCCACCCTTTGCTCCGCAGAACAGCTGAGATCTCAGTTCAGAATCTAAATAAGTTCTTATGAGTTAATATTTCGTTTCAATTACTGAATATATATTGAAATATATATTTGTTTTGTCTTTTAAAATATGAGTTCGTCAAGAAGAAAGTGTAAATATAGTACTGATTTGTTTTGTTATATTTGCGTTGTTTATTAAAAAAAAACACACTGAATATTTCGGTTTTAAAGTGGACAAACTAGGAAAACCATGAGTTCCTCATAATATTTGTAAGTTATGCCTTGAGTCTTTACGGTTATAGAAAAAAGGAGAACGTTCTGGATTAGACTTTGGCATTCCGATGATCTGGATGTAGCCTACAAATCATTTCGATGATTGTTACTTTTGCGTTGTAGATGCTAAAGGTTTCAATCGCAATCAAACCTGGATATATCCAGTTTTACAGTCTACAAAATGTCCTGTACTACACAGTGTAAATATTCCTTGGCCTATTTACGTTTTAAAAGTAATTCGAATGCCCTCAGAAACAATGATGTTACAGACGGGACAGTGTACAAGTGGAAGTGAATGGGAAGGTGAAACGTCTACGCCGAAGTTATTTTCTCAAAATGAACTCAGTGACTTAATACGTGATCTCCATTTATCAAAACAAGGATCAGAATTATTAGCCTCAAGATTGAAAGAGAAAAATTTATTGGCCCCAACAGGTCACGAGAAAAAGAGTTATTGAATTTTTTAGTGGTGTACTTTTAGACATGGGTTTAACAGCATACAAACCTACTGAGTGGCGACTTTTCATTGACGGTTTTAAAAGAAGTTTGAAATACGTTTTAATGCACAATGGTAATAAATTTGCATCTATTCCAATTGCCCATTCAACAAAACTCAAAGAGGAGTATGAAAATGTAAAATTAGTTTTAGAAATGTAAACTGTTTTAATTATATTGGTAGAAAATAAAGACTCAGATTTTATCAAAGTTATGACTGTTCCGGAAAGTAAAGCTTGGGAAAGTTTTGTATTGGTAGTCGAAAATTTCCTAGGTAATCATAAAGCACCAAATTATGAAGAAATTGTGCAAAATATGCTGACATATTTTCAGATTCTAGGAGCAAATATGAGTATCAAGTTACACTATCTTCGCAATCATCTAGATAAATTCCCGTATAATTTAGGGAATTATAGTGAAGAACATTTAGAGCGGATCCACCAGGATCTAAAAGTGATGGAAGAACGGTATCAGGGTCGTTGGGATTGTCACATGATGGTAGATTACTGCTGGTCTTTAAAAAGAGATTGTCTAAAGAAGAGTTATAAAAGAAAAGCTAATAAAAGGCGTTTTATGGAAATATAGTATAAGTTTTTAACAATTTTTTCTCTATTTACTTCAATGTTTGTTCATCTTTCAAAATAAAACTAATATTCGTAACATTTATGTCATTTTATTTCTTGTTTTCCGATTTTTTAAAATTAAAATGAAATAAAGATTTTCAAAAAATTGAGAGCAATTCTTACAAAATCGTTGATAGTTTAATGAATTGTGAGCATAAATATATCTAAAATTAGTCGCATATCCAGGGCAACAAAACCACTGTATACCAGTGTAATATAATAGTAAAATAATAACTAAATATTTGCTTTATGGGCGTGATTAAAGCAGGCTAATTTACAATTTTCGATTAGGTACTATTCAAAAGATGATGTTAAAAATGTTAATAATTAGTCTGAAATAATGATTTACGGTTTTTTATTAACAACTGTGCAATTTACGCCGCAGCCTCCGACCTTTTTCAATTCGCGACGACCTTCACCTGTTGACCAGCAATAATTATTCTCCTGGTATATACGTCGTCGATCGAACACACCCAGTGTCTTCGCAAACGCGACGTAAACATGAGCGGCGACGCTTGCGACGACGTCGACGACGCCAAGTCCGCGCTCGAACGCCTCGGTGAATCAGATGAAACGCGTCGCGACGCTTTACGTCAAATACGCGCGTGGCTCGAGGAACAACCACTTCGCGCACGCGTCGAAGACAAATACCTGCTGCCGTTCCTGCGGGTCTCCAAATTCGACCAGGCCAAAACCAAACGAAGAGTCACCAATTATTACACGATGAAAAGGGACCGACCTGAGTGGTACCAGGACAGAGACCCTTTGATCCCCGAACTCGCGGAACTCGTCAAGCTAGGGGTGTTTCTACCTCTGAGAAGACGCGGCGTGGACAAGCGTCTGGTCGTCATCATACGTACCGCGGTTCACGATCCTAAGAAACATCAACAAAACGACGTCTTCAAGGTGGGCAAAATGATACTCGACGTCGCCTGCATGGAATATGAACCGGTGCAGCTGTACGGCGTATGCGCCATCTTTGATATGTCGGGCATTAGTTACGCGCACTACAGAGAATTGACGCCGGGCGTCGTCATGAACGTAGTGCACGCGTGGCAAAACCACTACGTCAGTCCGAAGACGTTGGAGTTCGTCAATGCTCCGGTCTACGTCAACATCGCTCTGGACGTCTTCAAGAGGTTCATGTCCTCGAAGATGAGGGACAGGGTACTGGTGCACTATGGCGGGGTAGAGAGCGTACCGCAAGACGTCCTGCCGCCTGAGTATGGCGGGTCGGGGGACAGTGTCGCTGAGTTGGCAGATTATTGGCTGGGAAAGCTGGTAGAGTACCGGGATTGGTTCGTAGAAGACGAAGCGTTCAGGGCAGATTGAAGGAAGATTGATAAGGAAAGGCTTCCTTGAATTTCTATTATAAATAATGTACCTAATGATTTATTACACTCAACACTGTAATTGTATGTTCAATTTTAGCTGAAGTGATTTCATGGGTCAAGAGGCATTTTCAGCGGCTAGCAACGTCTCAGCCCGAACTACTTATAATCGATGTCCAAGTCTTCCAAATGAAGTCGCATCGTTTTACGCTTCTATGTCTCCCTCGAACGCGCCTTATACAAGTCATCCTCGGCGAACCAATCGCGCATTTGCACCATCTTGTCGTGCCAATAATCGCAGAGCTCTTTCAAGCCGTCTTCCGTACCTCCATATTCGACAGGCAGCACCTCTTTGGAAACGACATCTTCGAGAGTACTCCGGGTGCCGTAATGCACCACAACCCTTCTTCGCATCTTCTCCGTCATGAAACCTTTGAAGACGCTAATGGCGACGTTCATGTACGACGGGGCGTTGATAAACTCCAACCGCTTCGGGCTGACGTGGTAGTTCTGCCACGTGCGGACCATATCCCTGATGACGGTCGGGGTGAGGCAACGGTAATGGCCGAAACTTATGCCTTTCATGTCAAAGATGGCGGTTACGCCGTAGACGTGGGCGTTTGGGTTCTCCGCGCACGCCACCTCCAGGATCATCTTGCCCGTTTTGAGCACGTCTTGGAACTTGTGCGCTTTCGGATCGTGCGCAGCTGTCCTGATTATCACTACCATGCGGTTCTCGTGGGTTTTCTTCAGCGGTACGAACACGCCCAGCTTGGTCAACTCCGCGATTATCGGGATGGTCGGGTCGCGGTTATCGAACCACTCGGGTCTGTCGCGTCGCATCGTGTAAAAGTTGACGATCTTCAGTTTAGTTTTGTCCAAATTGAACTTGCACGTCCTCAGGAACGGTAGCAGATGACGGTCGTCGGTCCTGGCACGGATCCAAGCCTCTTCTTCGTTCAGCCAACGTTTCAACTCGCGCAGGCATCGTTCGCGATTACCTGGTGTTTCGTTTAAGTGGCGACACGAGTACAATGCCGTTTCTTCGTCGCTAGTCATTGCGGAGAAGATCGTAGTCGCGAAAACAGAACGGCATTGCTTTCATCACGACTAAGCCTGCGTCTAGACTTTGCCCGACGCGATAGGTGCATCATGTTTACGCTGTTTCGCGATAATAAAGCAGCGGCGGCGGTTAATTTTAACTCATATTTTTTAACATGTACAATTTCAGTCAGTTGCACGACATTTACATATTATGTTTTGGTTACATTATTAGTTGGAAAAAGTATGTCAAAGAACTTTGTTCAAACTATGTTTGCAATAAAGCTTGATGCGGTCCTAGAAGTTTGTTGTTTTTCAAATGATCTGGCTTTTATGAGCTACGCTGCATTTGAAAACATTTTTCACTAAAAATTAAGACGAAAGTTAATAACAGGTGTGTCCACTTCTAGTCGCGATGACCACTTCCATTCTTTGTGGCATGGAATCAATCAAATTGATTATTTCTTCTTGATGAAACTTATTTACTACATGCGCAACATGCGGTCTGGCATCATCTCGCTTAAGTATAAACTTTTCTACAGCGAAAAGGCGAATTGAATGACAGCTTGCTGTAGTATATGCAACTGGTTCATAAACGATCGATATCGATCGATAAACCCGTTCACGCCCATTTGGTCACAAAAAAAAACTATTGATTCATCAGCGAACAATACTCTTGTTCTGGCCAGTTAACATGCTGCCTTGCAAATCTTAACCGATTAAGCCTAGCTTCTTTTAACTTTTTTCTAATGAGTATTTCATTAAAGTTTTTTCCACGTACAGCAATTTGAAGTAGCTGTCAGCAAAGGTCGTTGATTTATCCCTTCCAGATCCTGGCCTTCTAGTATTATGTATTAGTATTAGTATCTTGTACCGATGATAACATAACTCAATTTTATCCACGTCTGTAGTGTAGTATTAATAACGTCAATGTCGAAATAATCTAAAAACGTAACAGGCCGATCATTTAGAAGGCAAACAACCAGGAACACATCCAGCTTGTTTGAACAAGATTCTTTGGGGTACTTATTCTACAGGGTGTTTTAAACTTATCACCAAAAATATCATATTCACCTAGCTTCGTATAAAAACGTTAAAGCAACCAAAATTCCATCATAAGAGATGTCGTTGCAATCTTAAAGAATTAATCCAGCGAAAAAATCGTTGTAAGAAAGTCAAAAATAAAAAAAATATGCCATATTAAAATTAATTTAAAAAATCAGGTGCCGTTTTTCCCTTGTAATGTTTTTTCCGTGGATAAATAATCAAGGGAGATGGCATTGTTTCCATTTTAATGCGATGCGAATATCTTGACGAGCTGAGCCAACGTTGTCAGTTATATTATATTAATTTTATGTATTCAAAAGTATAAGTCAATTAGAAACTTATACAATATACGCTTAACAACATGTCTTGCTAATATTTCGTTAAACATTACCCATAAAACAACAAATAGTTCTTTTTTTAACAAATCGACGAAGTTTATAAGAAATGTCTGTTTGTAATGTTACAACGTTACAACGAATAAACGCTTACGCCAAGGTAGGGGAGTTTTGAGATAAGTGACTTTTTGGAAGTAAAAAGATGTTTTTAAATATGCAAAGAACTTCAATTCAAATTTAAATCAATAATACTTTTCACAAAAAAAACACGTCCACGTCCACGTTCAATGTACTCTGAAAGATATCAAAAAAATCCGGCTTCCACCCCGTTACCTCCGCAGCCTATCCGGCCTCCCACCGGGGTGATTGGCGAAATGTTTAAAACACTCATATGCAACGAAAACCACGCAATTTTAGACCAAATCAATACTTTTGAAACTAAAACAAGCGTTTCTTCCGGGTCTATTAAGTGGCTGTGACATTTCTCTACAGATGGGCGTAATCTTCATGCTTCACCCCTTTGTCCTATTTTTCTTCTAAACAGCGATATACACACACCTAATTCCTTTTTGATTGAACATTTAACGAGATGTGGACATATTTTCTTGTTAAATTGTGTGAATTCGTGGAGTAAACCAAAACTAAGCTCGTTTTTCAAGTTTTCTTGTTTAGCCTTGCTAATAGTATAGTAAAATTAGTATTTGCAGTGGTGTCCTATATTAAATTTTAATCATTAGTTCGGATTATATAATGATAAATGTTTTTTCAACTGCGATTTTGGAAAGATGATTTTGGTTAGATTTTATTTGTTGGTCTCTAAGACAGGAAAAAATACGCAATTTTTGATGCTTAATCCGTAGTCTTTTCCTAAACTGTGTTTATCATGACTAAAAATCAGGGGAACACGTGTTATCTAGTATTATCAAAGGACAAAAAAAATTCATAATTGAGTGGAAACAATAGTTTTTTGCAAACCTATTCCGCCAAATGAATGGACGTTTAACGCAACGTTATAGCAAAAAAATAAAACAAAAGTACGAAACTGGTACTGGTAATTTTTCGCGTCGACGCCACTGCATAGGTGATGAACGAACAATTAAATATATAAATGTTATTACATATTCGATTGATAAACCACTCACCAAAACTTTCGGAAAAGCAAAAATTGGGAATCGTTCCTCACAATATTTTTCGCGCGAAATGCTTACCTTTGTCAAATTGATGTGTCCGTAGTTTCTGAGTAAGTACCCCAGAAATATCCCCATGATGTAAACCGTCACTCTGTGGGCGGGTAAAATATACATGTTGTCAGCGGTGTCAAACAGTTGACGAATCCTGAAAGAACATGTTTCAAATACAGTATAACGCAGGTTATCCGGTGACGTGTTCGAATATCGCTATATAGGGTAGCTCGCTACTGTGGCATTTTAGTTTTGGTAAGTTGTCTCCAATTCTATGTAACACCAACGCAAAAAAGAAGGCAATGTTCAAATTGATTTGTAACAAGAAATTTAAACGAAACGGTGTCTAACGAAGTGCTAAAGCTTTTAGGACTCGTTTTCCAAAGTTTTTTATAGTTACCAAGAGTTACGGAACTCTGGAACTGACCATTAGTGTACTCTTTTTAGACCAGTACAAAATAGTGAATATAGAAGGGCGTTGACGATGCTATTGACTACTTTAAAGCCAGACACGCACATCCAAGGTTCTTTAGGCGAACAATACAATTACAATACAATATACAATGATTCTAATGATTTAATTAAATTTTCCTTTTTTGAGTTCATGTGCATTTTTGCAGTTTGCAGTGTTCATTTTACTTATATAAACAAAATTATTTTTCAGTTTCTGGGAAACATCACCTTAAATTATAAGATACAGAATAAAAAGAAAGCTGTATTCGGCATTCTCCCTTAAATAATATCTTTTGGCCTCTGAATATGGCATAAGAATTTATCAACAGTTAAAAATTGTGAAAGGGCGTGTGTTGGAAATAATGTCACATCAATAAAAAATTACATTTCAGAGGTGAACATACCTCAAATCAGGTGATCTAAGTTGTCCATTCTAGAGTCTTTTAACTCCTTTGACTTAAAAATAAAACCAAAACCATATCAAACTTTGTGAAAATCAATACTAACTAGAAAGAACTTTGGATTTTGAATAGCCTTTGATAGAAAATATGAAATAACTAGATATTAAATTTAGATCACAGCATGTGATCTAAATTTCTGTTTTTGAAAATGATGTAATTGATTGGGAAATTTTGGACACCCTGTGCTTGTAATTTATAATTCTCAATGTCACAATAGACGAATCTTGTTGTTTTCACAAGCCAAAAATGGTTAAAAGGTGCATTGTTCAAAATGATGTTACGAATAAGAAGTAGAATGTCTTATCTAGGGCATAATTCTTAAAGAATGTGATATAAATATATTCAGCTTTATAGAACTCCTACAATGTAATTTATTCTCGCTTTTTGTTCTTATTAAGAATTACCGAACTTCAAATTTTCCTACCTGGTGCTCACCTGAGCTTAGACATCTTTTAATTGAAAAGAAAATTGTTCAAAAACAATATAACAGTTAAACCATTTGATGATTACCAAATAATTTCTCTATTACGTGAAAGATCATCATTTTTGGAAAATTAATAATATAACTAAAGCTTACTATAAGAAAATCTCTAACAGCCTAACTCAGGATCCTCCTGTGCTGTGATAACGATCATGATGAGAGTACAGTAAACTTATTTGCAAATGCAACAAAATATTTCAGATTGCGAGAAATACCACAAAAGTCGATTTGTCAAAAATAAATTTTACAAACTTTCCAGTGGCCCTGATGCTGTGTCTTCCTTATTTTGGAAAGCTTTGATTTTTAAAGTTACAAAGTCACTACATTTTCTGATGCATCTTTCGTTGGATACTGCAAACAATCCCAGATTTCTTGAAGGATACTTGTAAATCAATTGAGCGAGCTGACATTAAATAATATGGAGGTGTCATTATAACGTTGGCAATATCCAAACTTTTGGATTCTTATTTACATCTGTTTTATCTTTGGAGTGTAGATAAGTTTTGAATGACTAGCAGCTTGGGATCAGAGTGATCTACAGTTACTTTCCAGGAGATATTGTTGAATGCCTTTGCAAATAATCTACAGGTTGTGTAGGCCTTCTTCAGAGTCAGCCTTAAATTACTAATCGTTAAAATGAGAGCTTTTGGTTTTTGTGAGCATATTGTAAAGTGGATCCAGAACTCTTTAACTAAACGTAAAAAAAAAGTTAAAATCAATAATCTAATATCAGGCGATATTCATGTTTTATCTGGTGTGCCACAGGGATTACACATATTATTCGATTTGTTTATCTTTAATATAAATAACTTTGTTATGTGTGTGTGTGTGTGTTTGCTTTTATGCTAGGATTTGCAGATGATTTTAAGACATTTTAACCTACAAAATTATTAACGGACTGTCAGTCACTTCAAATGATTTCGATTTAAATATCAAGAAATGCCTTTGCATCACATTCTGCTGAAAAACTTCAACCATTGAGTTAGAATTTGAAATAAATTAAGGATCTTGGATAAAAAATACAATAATATAAATACTCTTACTGGACGTGTTTACAGAAGCTTAAGTTGTAGTTCTAGATTGAAACAAGATTTATCTCCAATTATATTCAAAATACTGTACGGTGTGTCCTGTTCATTGTTGAAGCATGCAAGCCAAGTCTGGTGCAGAAATGTTTTTTACAAATTGCTGCATTTAGATTGAGCATTACTAATTAACATGGAGTCCCTAGATATTCGGAGATTCTACTCAGATGTTTTGCTTTTAAATTAATCACAGGGGGAAATTGATTGTAGCTATATATTATCTAAAATGAATTTTAAAATATCCTATGATACCAGATCTAAGCATGTCTTTTATCTGACGTTTCGATTTGCAAACTATGGCTTGCGTGACCGACCAGTTTAATATTGAGGTCAGTGCTTCTCGGGTTAGTGATAGTTTTAAACAAATTAATTACTGTTTAAAATTTGTGCAATGTTGATTTTTTTACTTTATTTTTCCCTAGTATATAAGCACTTTGAATTCATATTTCTCTATTTCTTTAATTTTATAAAATGGTTTAACCATTGAAAATAAATAAATAAAAGCCTTGGAAACTTACGAGGTTCCAAAATGGACGTAATTCGCCAGTCGCTTCGTGTAGGTGATGTAAAACCGGGCCAAAGTGGACAATGTCGCTACCAAAATCAACATCAACGATCCGTTCTTGGGCCATCTCCACAGGCAGTAGATAAAAATCGGCGATACCGCGAACAATTGGGTGTCTATGCCCAAATGATGGGTGTGTGTTAGACACTGAAACACCAATTCGAAATTAGAAAAGAATAGAACGAAACCGTACACAGTGTGCCAAATAAAATGATCCACTCTACGATCTGGAAACCCGTAGGAGTGATGAAAAAAAGTCTCTTACAAAAGTTTCCTGGATTCCCCTGAAGATTTAAAATATTTTAATTTTGTTGATACAGGGTGTCCCAAAAGTGTCCGCCCCGACATCAACTTTTTGATTTTAAGTGGAACCTCCTGTATATTTCGGCATTTTTGGAATCCTTGGGTAAAATAAAGGTCAGTTTCTTAAGAAATTCCTATTCGAATTTTGCATAGTTTAGGCAGAAATTGAGGTTAGGTTTTTTTTCCCCATATAAAATTGTGTTGTTACGCTACTACAGACTAAGGAGATGATGCATTACTCAATCAGGTCCCAGGGTGTCCCAAATAAATGGTGCCGTTTTGACAAATTCAATTAACAAAATCTCAATATTTTTTTTCAAATATCAATTCTAGGACAAAAATAAGGTAAGTTTGTAATTCACATTATATTTGAATTTTCCTTACTTTTTGAGATATTCGAGGTTTAAGATAACAACCGTATAAATTCTTGTTGAATTTAAAGCCGCCCACATTAGGTCACGTATCTTTTGGCTAATTACATTCTAGGCAAAAATGCATTTGCAATGCAAAGAATTCTAAAAATCTGTTATAAATGGTACAGCAATGCACTTCGTCAAAATAGTTAGGTGTTTTAGTGTGACAACTTTACTGAGGCTAAGCTTCTGTCAAATAGAACCCCTAAATTTTTTGCACAGAGATGCCCTTCAAAGTCACATTATTTAATAAAATATTTTGTATTAAGTAGAACCAGTAGTACAGTACGGCAATCAGAACATTATTAATATGATTCTGAGAATCTTGGCAATCCGATAGCCTTAAGAAGTAATAAAGTTGCACATCATCAGCATATTGAAGTAATCTCATCTTATTTAGACAATTAACAAACTACGCAATATATGCTCCAGGAATGCTACCCTGTGGCATGCCACATGTCCATAACTACATATGCTGATATTTCTGTATTTAGTTTAATTGACTGTTTTCGTCCTGCTAAATAATTTACTAGGAGCTCTACAGAACTCGATCCAAGACCCAAATATACTCAGCAGCTTGTGAAGGAGGGCATCAAAAGCTTTACTACTGAAATACAAGGCAGGTATTTAAACCATGATCAGACACGTGTAACAATGTTTTTGTTGTGCTAACTTGCTGTCGAAATTCCCACTGAGTGGAAGCAACAATGTGTCTTTTCAAAGATTTTTGAAAGAGTAGTATATTAATGGGGTGAAAGTGTAGGAGCTCAGTGGGGTTATTATCTTTGGGAGCAGCTCATATTAAATAAACGTTTTTCCATGCAGAGCCAAACTGCCTCAATCTTATTCAGATATATCGTTGCGTTAATAAAACACTTTTCTTTAAACTTCGAAAAGATTGTCGAAGAAAGCGCACATCGCACTCACCATGTCCTCGAACCCAAAGTAATTGTGGATGAAGAGCAAATTGCGCCACCAGTGACGTTTACAGATGTCGGAATGGTGGGTGACCACCGAGTTCCACATCGGTCCGTCGTCCAACCAAGGCAAGATAAATGTGCAGAACGCGATAAGGGCGGCGAAAGTCGGAACGATCCTGTACAGTCTGGAGACGTATTCCCGCAGGACGTTGATCCTGCCGGTCTTGTTCAGTTTACCCACGAGCGCGTATGACGTCAGCGTGCCCGAGATCATGATGAACGGGTCGGTGTACAAACTGGCCGCCCTTCCCAGCACAGTAAATGGCCGAGCAAGAAACTATTAAAAAAATGCTATTTAAAAGAATTGGTATATTTTTTTATGAAATAATAAATAAGTTATTTTTAATTCAAAAATACAGATCAACTTAATCAATAAATAAATAACTATTTTTAAAGCTATACGAAGTAGGGAAAAATCAATATCAATGAAGAAAAAAGATGAGAGAAGAAAAAAAGAAATTTTAAAAATGCAACGAGATCGATCAGACGGACAATTAAAAAGTAAATTCCCGAATGTATATGTATAGTGTGGATAGCTTTTTTTTTCGTTCTTTTTAATTTTGCACAAAACTTTATAATCTGCTGGAAAATAACTACTATTAAATGTGCAAAAATAACTCGATAAAAGAGCAAATCTTTGTATGATGAAGAAACTAAGTAACCAGATTTTGAGCGAAAAAAGCAATTGAGAAGGAAAAAGTAACCACAGAAAAGAACGGCAAAGTCTATGAATGATTCCGTCTATACTTGATTTCTAAATACGAGAAAGTAATAAAATTTAGATCTGCAAAGGCAGGGATCATTAAACTAATACACACCTCGAATCGTTGCTAAATTAGGGTCACATTAATTTACAGACAATAGAAAGAAGAGTTTGGTGCTAACACAGGTAGTCTAATATAAAAATAAATATAATAATTGTTATACATGATTACAATTACAGATATGATGAAAATTTGTAAAATGGCTAAATTGTAATAAAAATTATATACAAAAAAAATCTACTATTTAAAATTTAACTGTAAACTTCTCATTTTTAATTTATATTATGTTAATTTTCATATATGTTTTTATATCAATATAAAGGCGGGGGTCTTACATCTTCTGCAGCATCCTGCATTTCGATGGCAACATGTTTTTGTCTCTTAAGGCCTCTTCATTTAGAATTGTCATAACTCCATCCAGCCATGTGGCAGCTGGTCTCCCTCATTTTCTTTTATTTGGTGCAGCATATTCAAAAGCTTTTGTTGGCCATCTATTTTCCTCCATTCGTCTGCACATGTCATACCAGTTGTCTTGTTTCAATTCATTTAGTTGTTCTGTGCATTCGATTTGTGCTGCGTCTAATCTCGTCATTTGGTATATGTTTTAAGCTAGACATGATCTTCTGAGAAAATCAATTTCTACAGCATCTATTTTCCTCCTCGTTGATTCTTTTAGCTGCCAACATTCTGATCCGGTTGACATTATTGGTTCTACGATTGATCAGTATATTGGCAATTTTGTTTTTATAGATATGTGATTGGACCAAAGTAAAGGATTCAAAACTCGTACACTCCTCTGTCCCTGTCGTATTCTACGTTGTATGTCTTGTACAGATGAGTCTTTGTTAGATATAATACTACCAATACTCTTCGCATTGATTAACCGACCACAAGTCGGGATCTTCGTCTTCTTTACCTATTCTTAAGTATTTTGTTTTGGTCATGTTCATTTTCATTCCCGCTAGATTAGCAAGCAAAGAATAATGTTGACAAGTTCTTCACCATTTGCAATTTGTATCTGATCATCAGCAAAGAATAATGTTGACAAATAGTGGTCGCCAACTTTAATTCCCATACCTGACCATTTATGTCTCCATTTTTTAGTATTTCTTGTATAAAAATTTTAAACAACAGGTAACATCTCTGTTTAACATCCTCTGTCACCCGAAATGGTTCTGACGAGGTGTTTTGGGTCTTAACTATACTTTGTGGATTCTTATACATCTTGTATAGACCTCTAATATATCCTCTATTTATGTCCGTTTTCGTCAAAATATTATTATAAATAAAAGTTTTAAGGGTACCGTGTCGTAGGCTTTTTCAAGATCAATGAATAAAGATCAGTAGTTAGGTTACGAGCATCACGTTTTTCTATAATTTGTTGGAGAGTATATATATTGTCCATACAGGACCTTAGTGCTCGGAAGTCGCTCTGTTCTCCGATGTTTCAGTACTCCAGTTCAATACGCTTCTTCAGTATCCGACCGTACAACCTTCCTACCGAGGTAGTGACATTAATCCCTCTGTAATTCCCACATACTTTTCTGTCTCCTTTCATATGGATGCAGCTAATGTGTGCTAGATTCCAATCTTCCGGAATATCATGTCCTTCTATAAGACATTTATTAAAAATATCTACACACATTTCTATCAGTATGTCCGGTCCGTGTTTCACTAAATCGATAGGAATGTCTTTCGGTCCTTCATTTCATTTAGCCCTTTTCAAACTTCCTTCTTATTAAGTGCCTGAATTTCAATCTCACTATCGATAGTAACTTCGTCAATTTCCCCCAAGAATTTGAATCTGTTTTTCGTCAATAGTGTTCTGCAATGTTCTTCCCCTTTTTTGTTTTGAATCCTATATATCTCTCTACGTCTTCACACTTTCTTTCCCATAGCTCATTTTTCTTTTGTTTTTAGCCTTTTTCTTTTCGTTTAGAGGGTCTTTGTTTTTTGAGAATTTTAATAAACGTGACAATAAGCCAGGGTGCAACTCGCGGGCAACCAGTGCTCAAAGGGTTCCCAGAAGGGCAATTCAAATATGTGTTCATTCTTACAACGATAGACAGTTCACGACCATATCTACCATTTTTAGCATGAGTAATCATATTAACACTGACCCTCCACTCTAGCAGCGAAACCCACGAGTTGAGCATCCTTTCAATCCTCACACCAGTTGAAACGGAAAATTTAACTAAAGTCGAAACGAGGTCAATTGAAAGCTCAGTTACCAGACATTTCAATATGTTAGAACAAACACAAAGCCACTTTTTCGTGTTAAGTACTGCATTAGATGAATTTGAATCTATTTTATCATAATTCGAGGAATTGCAAGACGAGATCAAATATTTCATTTCACTTTCACAGCTGTTCTTAGATTCAGAAAACACCGAGAGCAAAGATTTCGCAACCAATTATTTCCAAATTGTCGGTAAATTCAGAAACGCCATTCAAAAATTTTCGGATGAAAACGACCGGCACAAATTTTCCAAATCTTATTCAGCCTACGGACATCAACCCTCCAAACTTTAATAGCGCTTTTCAACGTTGGTCAGAGGTCCAGAAAATTTAATATTCAAAGTCAATAATAGATGGTGAGTCATTAAATATAATCGGGTCAATTGAGGTATGCTATAGTAATTACAACATAGCCCATACGCTTTTAGTTGAACCATATGACCATAGTACAAAATCATCTTAAGGTGCTTTTCTCATGTTAATCTAAGGAAATTGTAATGTATATGTAATGTATTTATATATTTATTAACTATTAAGTCCGACAATGCAACGAAATAGATAATTTCGTCTCTCTCTATTAAAAGAGATTTTCTGTTTTGAGTTTTTTCCTAACGAACATTCAATTGGTTCAAAGTTTTTCACAATTTCATTTCACCCATGGGTGGAATGACATCATCCTTTTCAGTTCAGACATTATTTTAATCAAGGTAGTTATTTATTTTTTTAAGTAAAATGAGTGTATTATTCTTCATCTACATTTATTATAGTTTCTTCTCTTCCGGTTCTTCTCTTTGGTGACCTGACGAGACCGCGTTTACCTTCTTGCACAAGTCGGTTTACTGTCCACTATTCCAGTCCTATTCGAATCCGTTTCACCTATTTTTACAAATTCGAATGTTGTGCTTTAGTGCCGAAAAGATTTGAACACATTAGGAATATTAATTTCTTCATTTTTGAAAAGAGCAGTTTTACTAATGCATTTCTCATCAACAAATTCAGTAACATATTTTCAAGAACGAACTTTCTCAATGACTGCCAGAAAGTAAGTATAATTTTAATTTTAAACACTAAGGGACACGTAGTTCAACTACCCTTCCGCCTACCTGCCACTCTCGCAACCCTCGTCATAAATACAATGGAATACAGTTCATTAATTATTTACAACTCTCTCTTCTTATGAAACAGGACATATAAAGTCTGTTCATAGATATAAGAAAGTGACTAACTGATACGAATTAAAGAAAGACTGTAAGAATGAAATATGGCCAAACAGGTCCGTACTTCGCTTAGAATTTAATTATTTGGGGTTTTGTTAGGAAATATACTAAAAAATATTTATTTATTTATGTATGTATTTATGTTTAAATTTTTTACTTAAAATTATTCACATAATATATCAGTATCACTATCGCTAGCATCCCCTGTTCTAATTATTATTTGTTCTATATTATTTGCAATATGGATATACGATTGTTCTGCTTTTTCTATATGTTTAACAGAATTTGCCCAACTATGTGGAGGGATGTTAAAAACTTCGGTTTCTATAAGTCTGAGGACATTGGAGTTGACACGGGGAAAAACATTGTTACGACATTTGGCAGATTTTACTTGGTGCCAAACATGTTGAATGGGATTGAATATACAGTGGTAAGGTGGAAGCCTTAAAACTATACCCTAGATATTTTGCATAATTATCACAGACGTATTACTTTTGTAGGTTCAAGCTTTGTAGAACCTCAATTAATTGTTTTTTGGTATAATCTTCGTGAAAATAAATGTCGTTATTATACATGCAGTTTTGGATTGTTGCTTTTGTGTCACATGAGGAAGGGATTTTAGTTAACTGTCTACTGTGATAACTTGCATTGTCCATTACAATGACGCTATTAAGTTTGTTTTTAAACCAACTTTCAAATAAATCAGCGGTGGTGTCTTCATGGTAATCCGGATAATATTTAATATTTTTCGTATTCTTTTACCTCTTTTTGATGGCGCGTTTGTTTTACACTTACTAGTTGAGTCAACCCAACCCTTTTCCGGGGTATCATAAGTGTCGAACCAGGTTTCATCCAAGTAAATAATTGGCCTTTGTTGTTCTCTGTAAATCCTAATTTTTTCTAGATATTCCAGTTGCCTATTCCGAATTCTCAAAGATTCCATTAAAACTTGCCTTTTGTCATTTTCTTTAAATGTTATACCCATGTGTTGAATACACTTCCATAAGGTAGTTCTGTCACATTTAACACCGGTTTCATCTTTTTCAAGCCTGCTAATTAAGATATCTAATGTAGACATGCTTTGTTCCTCGTATAACTGGTAAATTTTACGCCGCATTATACAAATCTTGATCACTTTCATCTACACTCGAGAAAATGTCAGCATCGCTTCTTTTTTTCCTCGCTGAAACGGGATTATTCACAATTTTCCATAAAGTTATGTTAGAATTTTCGTCAATGTGGCCGTTTCGTCTAAAGATGCTTGTTTGCTGACACCACGTTCAATGAGAGTCCAATAAACATTATTTATAACTTCCTTAGTCTCAATAGAATAGTGTTTTCTACATTTGGGCGGGAGCATCTCCTGAGATACACTAGACTCGCACATATTTTGCATAATTCGCGCACGATTCAACACACGCTCTATTACACACGAAATAAGAATGATTACTAATAAACTTAAACTAAGTAGTATACCAAACCAAAGAATATTATACACAGGTAGGTATAAAAATATTTTCTATTACGGACCACAACTTTACCTGAATGTAAATTCCGAAACTTTAGGTAATAATCTTGTTGCATTGTATGTTAATGACCACGCTTGGATAATCCCATTCAAAAGCAATTGGTCACTTTCTTATATCCATGAACAGTCCATACCTGGAGTTCAGAGTATTGTGTACAGTATGATACAGTACAGCTATAAGTACTTGGCACATTTTCGGGGGAAATAGAAAAAAGCAAATATTTTGAGCTTACCTCGACACATTCGGTTCGATTGACGTACGGTAAGAAAAATAACGCCATCGACTTGTGCGCTAGCAGCAATAGCACGGCGTTTAGCATTCGAATACCGTGGACCGCCTCTATGTCTCCCGATGAGCGGGTCATCTTGGTCAGCGTCTGCAGGTTCCTTTTGAACGAAAAGGAAGTGATCCACTTGTCTGGAATGTCGACGGATTTGTCAATTCGCCTAATCCAGTAGTTTAGACAATTATTTACCTTTTTCCCCGAAGGCGTAGACATCGTACAAAGTCGCCATTAACTCCAGAACGATTATTGATACGAAAATTGCTCTGAAAAAAATTAAAGATTGTTTCTAAAACGTGTGCAGTAATAAAACGGAAGATTCCGTTTGGTACGAGAAAATTTGACTCTTAAATTCATATAAATTGTAACAATTGTGAACAGTAATAACGATATTATTAAAATGACGAGAACGTCAACGATATTCGTTCGAATGAAAGAAAATTGTAACATTTCCAATCAGCGACTGATAAAGTCATTACATAATAATGTCTTACGATAGAAGAAAATGTTGAAAGATGTTGCAAAATGACTGTAATTGTACTATTTACGAAACTTCTGATTTCCTCCTGCATAGGTTGTTATATCCTGTTGGCTTCCTCAGAACTTAACGGGAACTGGTTTCCGCAAGTTCGACTCAACAAAAACCGACGTAGGAGGAACCCAGAAGTTTCGTAAATAATACAACTACAGTCATTTTGCAACATCTTTCAACATTTTCTTGTATCGTGAGAATTATTATGTTATGACTTTTTCCATCACTGACTGGAAAGAATTGTTACAATTTCTTTTCATTCCAATGAATGTCATTGATATGCTCGTCATTTTACTAATAACCAGAATCAGTTAAGCTCTGAAGAAGCCAGCAGGATGATTGGTAAAACGTTAGCATGTTCGACAACCGACGCAGTAGGGCTGCAGAAGTTGCACAAATAGTATTATAGTAGCCTGTGGAAGTTTCTTTGAAAAATATCGCGGAAAGGAGAAATAGCCGGTCAAGTGAAATCTCCCAAGAACGTCAAGAAAGACCTTTAAAGATCGTGGGTGGATATTTTAAAAATACCCACAGAATTTGCAAAACAACAACAAAAGTACAGCATTCCTTTTACCAAAACTGCTACGGGACACCTGGAACAGAGCGATGAAATTGTTTGAAGAAAATACTTGAAAAGTATACAACATCCATCCATCCATGGAGTAGAAGAGTATTTTTTATCTTTATGGGACGTGCATTATTGAGGGTTATATAAATGTGACAAGATAACAATATCCCTAGGACTCGTCAAATTTTGATGGCTTTTGAACGTGCGTTAAAGTAATACCATTAAAAGAAAGAAGAGCGCATTTGAAACGAGGATCGATCATTTAGGATGACTGACTGGTTAGTTTGGTCTGGAGTTGTCTCAAAGATTGCTTTGGAGACAGCTAGACACCTCGATGTTCTCGAAAAGTATTTTAAAAATTTAAAAACGAGGGGCAAATATTTTGGGTAGTTTGAAACTTTTTTTACGTTATCAGTTTATAACTGACCAAATCACTTGAGGTTTGAGTCACTCCAGTAACAGCTGCTTTGCCTGTTTATCCATCTGTTTAGACCAAAGGAGCATTCGTCAGAAAAACAAATGTCATAAGATAAATGGTGATTTTTAATTAATCGTACAGTAATTTCTTCGCAAAGATGCTACTGTCACTGTCATTTTCTTTTAGTTCATGTAAAAGCTTTATTTTGTAGGAGTGATATTTATAAAATATAAAATTAATGTATTTTAATTAAATTTTACTTTCTAAAATTTGGCTTAATTTGACAAATTTTAATGCCAAATTATTAAATTCGCATAAACTATACTATTGACGTGACTTTCTGATGTCTTTTTAAATAACAATGTTTTAAAATTCCACATTTAATCGTTTTAGTATAGAACCATTACCGTTAGCACCAAAAACTATGGGTAAAATAATTGCTGATGAGACGACAACTACAAAGCAGATGCTTGGAAATAATTAAAAATTACAACTGAAAAATATTTTCAACTCATAGAATCCCGTTTCACATATGTAAATAAACTCCAAATTAGAAAAAAAAAATCCTTTGCTATGTATAGGGACAATTTGCAAAACTCTATTCCTTTAAAAATGAACTATATCGAAGAAATTCTGGAAACAAAATTAATCAGATACTTAGAAGTCACCATAGATAAGCACATGCAATAGGATTTACAAAAAAAAGTATATTAAGCAGGGGGGGGATGGTGCCTAAATTTAGATATAAAAGGAATTTCCAGAAAAAGAATAAGTTTGCCTTTTCTCTAATTAATATAGTTCTATTGTATGGTATTTTCGGATGGGGTGGAAGGCAAAAATGGTTCTCGCAGTCAACTTTTTCAAGAAACAGAAATATTGGATATTCACCAACTTTATTGTTTGGAAATAGCAAAAAATATTTATAAAGGAACAATTAAACTGAACCACAAAATACAAAATTATCTAATAAGAAGGAATATTAAGTTTTTATCGAAAACCATTTCAAAACGTTTTGTAGAATAGTTTGCACTGAGAATATACATTTCTTTAGTTCTAAGTATATAAAATATTGCAAAATTTCACCTTTGCCAAAAACATTATTTTACTATTTTATTAATTTCAATTAGATAGATAATTTGCACAATTAAGAAATTTTGTAATATTTGCTAGGTTATATTTATAATTATTCTGTAATGATTTTTTATTCGTTTATTTACCAAAAGTGTAGTTTTCAGTTAGCACTTATAAATTTGAATATACGTAAGTTTTTCTTTCTTTTCGCATACCTTGATCTTTCCTATGTTGAAGAGTTCCTTCTAATGTTTTATTTAAAACTCCTGTATATTTATTCATTTACATTTCACAGGCCATTCAACAGGCAGACGCAGAATGGCAGAATGGTACAACATAGGCTCTTCGATCAAAGCAAAAGTTAGATTTAAATAAATTATAACTACGAGCTAAATAATTTTATATACGTTTGTTTTAAATAAACTAAACATATCTATATCTATTCCGTTTAGAAAAACACAATTATTATATGTCCTATCAGATCTTATTAAAGGAGAGTTAAAAAAGTAATTCGACCTGAATCGCTCAATAGAAAACTTCAGTTTCGTGCCCACCTGAAATGGATTAACATTGAAGCTAATTTATACAAAAAACAGAATCCACAAGGCTACTTACAACTTTGTAAAGAAAAGTAACATCAAAACGTTTTCTTCGAGTTTCAAGCGACTCCAAATTGTAAAATTTTAAGTTTTCTTCGTACGAGCAAAAGTGTCGATCTTTATTGTATCTAATGTTTAAGTGGTTAGAAAGTTTTTTATTGTAGGATTTCTATTCTGATGATACAAATAGGATTCCAAACTATTATACACGATTATTAGTTACTGATGCTTGTTGAACCATTTTATAGTTCTCAAAATGAAGCCCAGATCTCTCAAACATTTTTTGACAATAGTGAGTCAAGAACAATTCTGAAGTCTTTACTTGCTTAACTCTTTTCAGCAGTTTATTATCAAGCATTAAGCATACCTATAAAATCCTTTTTCCTTTTTCAAATGTGAACGAATCTCTTTTTTTACTTTTAATTCATAGGCAGAAGAAGCATAAACAGAAACCGGGAAACAAACGCCAACATCGAAAACAAAAATATTAAAGGGTAAAGGGCCCAGATGAGATCTCTGGGAGACCCCCGAGGTAACATTTGCACAACGAGATTTTTTACCATTGACAACAACAAACTGAGTTCTTTCTGTAACACAATAGTTGGAAGAGGTCGCCATGCACACCGTAATTTCCGAGTTTTATCATTAGAGTTGGATGATGTAATTGGAAAAATTGATGTCATGGATGAACGGTACCAAGTTGGTAAGAACTGAACGTTTTTTGTGAAAACCACGTTGATTTGGATCTATGTAATTTATTACCAGAAAAATAGCTGTGAATAATTTGCAGCCTCAAAAACCTTGACATAAGAGAGAGATAGGACGATAATTAACGACTTTAAAATGTTGGAATATCTGGGCCACTTTCCATCTTTTTGGAAACGTCCCTTGACCTACACATTTATTAAAGAGAATGTTAAGAGGTTTCGACAAAAGTGCCGGTATGCCGTCCGGCCCTGGACCCTTTTTGGGATCCCAGTTGAGCAATATTTTTTCAATAGAATTTTCAGAAAATCCAGATATGACGACACTATTGTTAGTAGGAATTGATGAAATATAAGATGGAGTGTCCCTAGGTTCAAACATACTACTAAAATAGTCACAAAAAAGTTGAGGCGTATTTTGAAAGTTATTTTATCAGACAGAATGACCAAAAATGGTTTGTATCCATTTTCAGATTTTCTTCGGCTTTTGCAATATATTTTTTATAGTCAATTATTTTACTTGTCTTAAAATACTTTCTTAGTTTCGAAAATAATGAATAATCCTCAGCTTTCTTATACCTTTTCCACTTTTGTCTTGCTTTCCTTTGTTTTGTGAGTGAACTCAATACGAAATTCACTCCTGTTTATAGTTTTAGTTGGTACAAATTCATATAGGTAAGGTTATATGTATAACCAACCAACAGTCACATCCTGCTCGATTTGACCCGATTTCAGTACACTTTTTCACTGAACAATGTCGAGCTTTTCATTTTTTTAGTTGTAGTTTGCTTGCGAGAAAATTTTCTTAGAATAGAAATTACATCTAAGATATTTAGTGACCTTAAAACTAATGTTTATTTCAAGAGCAGGATGGTACGTGTCCTTGGATACTAGGGGATCGTGACTTTCACTTACAGGGACCAAAATATTACGAGAAATTACTAAATCTAATAACTTGTATTATTATACTGTGTGAGTTTTAGCAAGTAAAAATAGTCACAGAAAAGAGTAGTATAAGGTTCTGTGGCGCCCGAAGGCGACAACGATAGGACAAAATAATCCCAATCCCAGTTTAAGTTCGCTAAGTTAAAATCACCGATTATTAAGCACTTGCTATTTACGTTTCTAGTGCAAATATTTTCCAATTTAGTAAGAAATGCATCAAAATTATTTAAAGTAGCGTATGGGGGAATGTAAACATTGCAAATAAATAATTGCTTACCGCCCTCTAGCGACAAAGATTACGTATATTACACGAAGTGTCAACTTACGTTGCAATCAGAGTAGAAGTGGGTATCGTTCTCTGGTGCGATGTGCGGCACATGCCGGGGTTAACCTCGTACCGGACATCAAGCTCAGTTGCGCCCATCAAATCGGCAAAGAAAGCCCCTAAGCCGAGTTCCACGTCGCGAGGGGTGCAAGTGTGCGGCACGCACAGAGCCCAGTTGATTGTCGAAAACTTTGGCACACGATGACCTGGCTAAAAAGATGTTATTGCATCGCATAGCTTTAATCAATGATCCTCGAGGTACTTGAGGTACTTCTTACAACAAGGAATAAACCACAAAAAGATAAATAAAAAGAAATGAAAATTGAAAAGGAATCAAGAACAACAAAACATTTATATATATATATATATATATATATATATATATATATATATATATATATATATATATATATATATATATATATATATATATATATATATATATATATATATATATATATATATATATATATATATATATATATCTAACTGACAAATTATACAGGGTCTTAAGTAAGTACTTGTAAAAACTTGAATCTTTGACTAATTGTAAGATAAAAAGTTCATTTGATTATGGGTCCGCAACGAAAAAAACGATTTTATTTGTTTTTTTTTAATTATATTTTTGCTCAACGACATGGCAATTAGACAAAATTCGGTTGATGGTGAGAAACGAATGTTTGTTTAGTTTTTTTGTTAATATTAACAATCTAATGAACCATAACTTTTTGTGTCGCACTGTATTTCATTTTTGACTAGGCAGTCCCATTCTTTATCCAATTTTACACCCAAATGCTACTTTCGAAATTGCATGATGCGAAGAAATGTATCTTTTATACATTATATTATCAAGTAACAAATTAAGACTCAAGTTGATTGACACTGACTTTAATTGACGAACTCTTTTGAATATACCTTGCGTCTGATAAATAACGACACACGATTCCAACATCCAATTTCTTAAATCTCGGTCGGTCGGTCGTGGAAAACTTCAAACACAATCGCTACTCGTCACCATTAAGCCTTTTCGGAATCATGCAATGTACAATAAGATGACCACCGATAATTCTTACTCAAATATGAGGGAAAATTGCACTCAAAAATGAGTTTCTACGTTAGCATTCGGATTATCCTCAACCGAGATTATTGTGAAATTTGCTGATGGCATTTCGAGAAAATGAAGATTCACCTAACTTAAATAAAAACTAAGCTAATATATATAATTAAAAATATAATCAAAAATACAAATTAAATAGATTTTGGCACACTGTATCTCAAAGAATTAAGTCATTGTGGATTCATATGAAATTTTTACTTTAAAATTAGTCAAAGATTCACCGTTTATAATGTGTACAAGTACTTTATTAACACCCTGTATTCTATATTATATAGTAGAAGAACATTGGCTGAGTACTTTTACCTGATACTTTACGCGGCAGCAAAAATTTATTCGCAAAAAATAACATCAATCTTCATTATTCGAAAAAAGTTGAATATCGTCATTTCAAGATTCGAAGATTCAAATGTACAAGAAGCTAATCCTTAAGGGTGTTATTACTTGGTTGATTTTACTTAAAAAGTGCATATCAATGTCGGTCCGCAATCTCTTTATTTTTTATATCCATAGTGTTAAAAATACAAAAAAGGACTTTTTCTTCATTTTCATTGAAACTGCTTTAGATATTTTTGGAAACAATTTTTTTATTGAAAATTATTTTTATACCTGGTGGCATCGGGGTAAGCATGACACTGAATATTTTTATTCATAAAAATAATAAGCCACTGTTTTTCTTCAAGAATAAATGACATCTTTAAAATCGTAATGATTTTAAAAAAGGACCAGGAAGCGAGGGTACCAACTTACCATGTTTTAAGGCAAAAGTTATGCAGTACATTTCACATGGGCTGTATAAACTTGAAACCAACCATCTTTTTCGACAAAGCAAAAGGATTAAATCGAATCCAAACTGAACCACAAAGTTTTCCAAAATATTAAAAAATATATTAGAACAACTAAATTAAAATTTTAGAAATCCTTCTTCGGTCGACACAAAGTCAAGGGATTATTTTTATCAAGAATCGGCATTCTAAAAATGTAATTTATTTTTGAAAAAATCAGTGGCGTATCATGTTTCTAGATAAAAAGATTCAGTGTCATGCTTACCCTGACGCCATTGGTCAAAGAAGAAGAATACATTCCACCGGAAAAGGGTTTCTATGCCATTACATACACACACAACAAAATATCTAAAGCAGTTTCAGTGAGTATGAGGAAAATCGTTTTTTTTATATTCATCAACATGTATACCGAAAATATGGTGACTGCAGATATGTTTTTTCTTCTAAAAATCATTCAAAGGGTTACAACAATAAGAACCAGCATCTTATTATGAACCACCAAGTTGAAAAACAACATAGTTTTCTTGTAGAACAAACCCTCACCCCTATCCTCTTTACCAATTTATAATAACTGACCGAATAGACCGTTACTCTAACAAATAGCATGTGGAATTTGGAATATGAGAAGAAAATTCGTGTTCTTGATTGCAGACTTTCTCACGTTATCCTTTTATTAGTGTCTGCTATTATGAATTCCCTATAAATCACATATGAACGTGGGTCCGGAGATGCATAGTTTTTAAGATACAGCGTGTCAAAATTTTAAAAAAATATTGCTTCATTTTTAATAAAAAAATTATTACATATCCCTGGACTTAATACATTTAGTCTAGTTAGGAATAAGTTAACCTCTACTAAACTACCAAACTTCAAGAAATTTAAATAACGGTTATTAACGTTATTAATAAAAAACTGATTAGAATTCAATGCCCATTAGCTTGCAATAAATTAATTTTTATTTTCTTATCAAAAACGAAAAATAAAAGTCAGTGGCACGCATTTCTTTTTGTCAAAAATATTCGATAGTGTCTCCCGGGACGTCAGAGCCACTGTCACTTTAATTTCAATTTAATTGAGCCTCTTGTCACAACAAACAACACTACCAATATCGAAAGTATCTAGATTGTTCATGATTTAATATTATACGTTGAAACTTTCTCCAGAATAAAAAAAAAGATATACAATATATCCGGTATTGTGTTTCAAAGGAGCAAAGGCTACTTTTAATATAACCGGAAGTGGCACGACCTCGGTAATATTTTAAAATGAAAATGACTCTTGAATAGACCTGAGAGCCTGAAACTTCTACGAATTGCAGCTACCTGAGTTACCCTGTGCATGGATGGTCAATCTTACAACCTGTACTGAGGATTTTGCCTCAGTCCATCATCAAGGACGCACCTAGATTGTATACTTACATCTTCCAGTTTGCTTTTGAAATGGTAATGAGACTGGAAGAGTCTGTGTAGGGCAGCGAGGTACGGACTGTACAGAGGCGTCTTAATTTCGATGGACGCCAGGCAGTACCGACCTTTGACGTTCCGGCTTTCCAAATTCGCCGCCAAACACATGTCGAAATCGCCCAATTGGTTAACGTTGCCGTTTAATATTCCCGATGGTAATTTGGCGGCGGCATCGTACACTGAAACCAAATTGTCCCGTGTGTACGTTATTACCTAATGACGCACGAGGTTTGCCAACTGGGCGGAACATCCTCGTCGAATAATTCATAAAAGATAGCTATCGGTGACAACGCAAAGACACGCGTTGCTACAGGGCGGTCCACTTTTTTTGACGTATTGAAAGAATTTAAGCGTTGAAGAAATCTTTGATATACTTTTAACTTCTACGTTATTAGTATTTATTTATTGTTATGTTATCGCCAACTAAGTGACAGTTAAAAAATAAAACACAAGCTGAAAATGTAATCACAAAAGAATTATCCACATTAATAACATAGAAAATTGTAGTGGAAAACCAAAGATAAGACATAGAGTAAATAAATAAATAAAAATGTATTTATTTATTTCTGCAAATAATATTAGGTCCATATTAAATGGCGGTATCCAAGTAGGCTGCTTAATACACAATCACCCCAATGCAAAGAGAACCCTTAATACTACAAGGGAAAAAGAGAATCGCATTATGAAAAGTTAAACACCTCGTGCCAGCTTGTGACGGTTCAAAAGATGATTTTTTTTCCTTTTGTTTGAAGCTAAGAAGAGCCGGCCGGGCAGAGCGAGAACTATTCGAGAACATCAAGAAAAGGAAAACAGGCTATCTCGGACATATAATCCGAGGAGAGCAATACCACTTTCAGCGTCTCATTCTTCAAGGCAAAATTGAAGGAGGAAAAAGGGGAATAGGCAGAAGAAAGTTATCGTGGCTAAGAAATATCCGACAATGGACAGGGATAAGTGACTTCCAAACGCTACAGAATGCTGCAATTAACAGAACCATCTGATAAGAAGGCGATGAACGCCCACGCAGAAATCTGCTTGGCACCTGAAGAAGAAGATGTTTGAAGCTGATCTGACGTCGGGCGGTAGAGAATTGAAGACATTGAGAGGTTGTGAATTTCTGAGTGTGCAATGATTGTTTTTGTGAAATATTCAGGACAGCCCCTAGACCGAACCTTGAAGATAAGAGTTGCCAAATGCAAAAATGAGCTTTAGTGAGCCATCCGGACAATTTTAGAAATGGTGTATATGATCACAACCTAAACAAATCTGAGGCAAGTATTCTGAAGGTTTTGGAGACTATTCCTATCTTTTTGCAATAAAGAATATATACGAGATAAAATCAAAGAATCTGTTAGATGATGTTTCAAGACAAGAATACATATATCATGACCTTAATTTGCTCTAGCTTTTTTAAACAAATGCAGAAACATGTGTTGATAATCTCATACCTGAATCAAAAATGAATCCAAGGTTTCTACACGAATCTTTGATGCAAATAAAATGACCTATTCTTTAATTACTATATTGTGTGCTTTGAAAACCTTTGAAATAATTCCTAAGTCTTTCACATTCACTGCTTCGTGTACTCTAAAAAAATAAATTTGGGTACCGCCAGTGTATTAATGAAAGAAACAGTAAGTCAAGAAAGACAAGAAGAGGACACAAGATGCTGCCCTGTGCAGCTCCTCGATCTATGAAAACCAAGGGAGAGTACAGTTATTTCAGCACAGCTTTCTGGCTTCTTCTTTCAAAATAATTGCAAAATAAAAGATAGCACAGTCTCTTCCAAAGCAAAAAACTTTAATTTGCTAAGCAATGCATAGTGGTCTAAAGCGTCATACGTTTTACCGTAATAGAGCCGTGCTGTGACATTTGCCATAAATTCTGAAGTCTGATCTGCTACCATTCTTTCAAGAACTTTTCAAAGTGTGGGAAGGAAGCAGATAGGGCTATAGTGTGGAAGTTGGATAGGATTTGGGTTGGGAAATCATTCGCAACAACGCATTAGGAAATTCACCCGATGAAAGGCAGTTATTCATTTCAGTTATTCAGATGTGGGCTTGTACCGTCATCGAATACATTAAGTCTTAAAATTTCATTAATATAGTTTTGGGTAGGAAAAACTGATTAGCGAAAAATCCTGAGTTAAGGAGTCAATGAAAAAGTCATTGAAATTATTTGCCGAGCCTATGCCAGTTGAAGATTTCGCATATTTGCTTTGGTGCTCTTCAAATACCTTAACGTTCTCCTAAAACAATATTGCAAGTCAGCTTTTTTTCAGCCCTAACCGAAATTTTAACTTGATTTCTCAAACTTTGGTAATAGTGACAAACCCCTTCAGTTCTATTCTTTTTATACTTTGAGAGTGCGTGATACTTTCCAATTTTGAGTTAACTATGGAGCAGTGGTTTAGACATTCTAGGCAGCCTCAAGCAAAAGTAAGTTATTATTAAGATATCATTGACAGTGTCTATAGAAAAGATAAAATCCCAATATAACGTTTCGAGGTCCAATTTCAGTAAGTTTTAAACGTAAGTAGTTTAAAAATTACAATTTTGAAGTTGACGAGTTTATGGAAATGCTTTCCATACAAAGCACTCTGTTGTTGTGAGAATAGCATATGAGCAAATCAAGAAGGGTATTAGTAGCAGTGACGTAAATTCTGGTCGGTTCACTTACATATTGACATAAACCGTACTTATTTAGCAGACTTTGAAATGAAATTTATGTTATTTACTTACTTATACTTACCAACACATATACAATCAATGGGTTGAATAAGCTTATGAACGCAATAAATTGCAGTTTTTTGACGAAAATGATCTAGGCATTACAAATACGCTTTTAATAAAGATATTCAAGAGCACTTACAGGAAACACACGATAACTTTAACCTACATAGAAAGATAAAAAAAAGCGGCTGGAACATATAGAAAGGGGCAATTCTCTAATGTAGAAAATGATCAGGAAGCATTAGCGCAGGATGACCAACAGCGTAAAGCATATGGGGAAATGCCTACTATTGAATATGTGGACGACAAAAATCTCCCCGGGCCTCCCATCACAAAAAGAGGAAATTATAAGAGCACTCAACACATCGAAAGATAAGAAAGCGATTGGACCAGACCGTATACCTGTTGAGTTGCTCAAACTAACAAATATATTTAATCGAATCTATAGTACAGGCGAGTCCCCTGCCAAATGGTTAAAATCAGATTTTATCCTTTTGCCAAAGGAGAACAATGCAACAAAATATGAAGACCATAGACTAATCAGCCTCATGAATCACACACTGAAGATATTCCTTAAGATTACCATACAATATCAGTAAAGGCTAGGCATGAGAGAAGCATTAATTGCGAGTCAGGTGGAGTCCAACATCATAACTTCATCCAAATTTTAAATAGACTCGACATAGACCAAAAAGACATCCGTTGCATTGAAAACTTATACTGGAATCAAAAGGCTGAAGTCAAAATTGGTAACGATTTCAGGGACGCAAAAGCAATCTATAGAGGGGGCGGGCAAGGATGTGTTCTTTCCCCGCTTCTCTTCTCGTTTAAGGTGAAAAAATTTAAATCGAAAGATTTATTAACAAAAGTCAACAACAATTATTTCAGAAAGCTAATCATTCTCAAAGATGCGCTACGAAAGCCAGTTGTGTGTTGGCTTATAATATTGCTAAATCTAATAAAGCATTTTCAGATGGGGAATTTATAAAGCAGTGCATGATAGATCTATGCCATATTATGTGCCCTGAAAAGAAAAATTATTTTCAGTCACTGTCTCTCTCAAGAAGAACAATCACCGAGAGAATTGAAAATATTGATAAAAATTTAATTTCACAACTGATTACAAAAACACAAAAATCTATTGTTTATTCAATTATCATGGATAAAAGTACAGATATCAGCGATACTGCGCAGTTACTCATATTTGTAAGAGGAATCAACACCCACTTTGAAATTACAGAAGAACTTGTAATGAAAGAACGTGTGAATTTGAAAGTCACATCGATAAACTTCGTTTCCCTATTGATAAGTTATGTAATGTAACTACAGATGATGCTCCTAATATGGTTGGAATCAATCAAGGATTTGTTCGGAAATTTAATTCTAAGTACCCGGAAAATGATGTTGTTTTTTTGCATTGCCTTATACATCAGGATGCTCTCTGTAAATCGGCTTTAGGTATTGAGCATATACTTAATATTGTTGTAAAACTAGTAAATATGATTCGTTCCAGAGGATTATTACATCGCCAGTTTCAACAGTTTTTGGAGTCCATACATGCTGAGGATTCCGATATCCTGTATTATTCAAAAGTTCGGTGGTTAAGTGCTGGAAAAATATTTCAAAGAATTTGGGATTTAAAACACGATATAGTGAATTTTCTCCTTGATAAAGACATTTATAATCAATTTGACGTCTTAGAAAACGAAACTTGGCTTTCTGTTTTCGCTTTTTTCACAGACCTGCTCGCACACATGAATAAACTTAATCTCAAATTGCAAGGGAAAAATCAGTTTCTTCACGATATTTGGCAATACATGAAGAGCTTCAAATTACAGTTATTATTATTTGCCAATCAGATCCCTAAATCTGACTTTCCTCATTTTCCAAGAATACAATCTTTAAAATTCATTATATGAAGCAATAAGATTAAAAAATAAGAAATTAATTTGAGAAAACTATCTTCAGAAATTGAAAGGAGATTTCAGGACTTTAGAAAAATGGAACCAGAGTTTAGTATTTTTGCGATTTCATTCAATGTTGATTACGAAGCAGTTGATGCAAAATTTCACCTTGAGTTAATAGAACTGAACTGTAATACTCTCCTGAAACAAACTTTTCATACAGTACCATTACTAGAATTTTATAAAAATTAAGTAATAATGACAATGTCCGGCTCATCTTATATATTGTGCTTATAATTTTCTTACCCTTTTGCTTTTATACTATTAAAATAATAAGTGTATGTAATAATATATGTATATGTTTATAAAACACATAATTTTTTTAACGATTAAGCATTATTCTTTGGCCCGCTACTATCGTCTACTTATAACAAAGGCCCGTGTTAAAAAAGTTTCCCCACCACTGCCCTAGAAGAACGTAACATGGGCGTTAAGGTGAATGGTGTGTGGGTCAACAATATAAGTTATGGGGACTACACAGTTCTAATTGCAGATAAAATGGAAGATTTGCAGAGTATGCAGAGATTGCCGGTGATTGCAGTGAGAAAATGGGTCTTAATGTGAACACCAACAAAAACTAAATTCATCATAATTACTCGTAAGCCAGAAGATTTTCAAAACGCAAGCCTAAAATATGACAATCAATCAATAGAACAAGTAAATAAATTTAAATATTTAGGAACGTGCCTGTGTGAAAACTGGGAATCCGACACAGAAATCAGATGTCGGATTGACAGTGCCCGCAGTGCGTTCATGAAATTCAAAAAAGTGCACACCAATACCGATCTCAATCTCAGCCTAAGGATTAGATTTATAAAATGCTACGTCTGGCCTATATTACTGTATGGTATAGAGGGATGGACATTAAGGTGAGCCATATGAACAACGTTGAAGCATTCGAGATGTGGATCCACAGATGTATACTGAAAATACTATGAACCGCAAGAAAAACAAACGATAAGATCTTGAGAATGATCAACACAGACCGCAAATTGCTGAACACAATCAAACGACGAAAAACAGCATATATAGGCCACGTGATACGTAACGAAAGAAATCAATTCTTACAGTTAAAGTTAATTAAAGCGAAGATTGAAGGAAAGAGAGGAATCGGCAGGAAGAGGATTTCTTGGCTTCGCAACATCAGACAGTGGACGGGACTGGGGACAATGGAAGAACTAATACGAATTAGAACTAATAAGAAGAAGAATTCAACAGAAAACTATACTTATACATACTTAAATTATTAAATCACAGTAACATTTGTAGACAAATTATACTCAAATGGTAAATACTTAATATAATAAAACAGTTATTGACCATCATAAATATGATTTTTACTTAAACATTATTAAATGTCATTCTTCATTACTTATATATTCGATTGAGAAAATATAAAAGTTTAAAAAAATCGCAACCTTAAAATATAATCTGACACGAGGAGAATAAAAATTAAATAAAAAGAAAAGAATTAATTACTAGAGTTTGCATTGCATATTTCTGCGGCGAGTTTCTTAAAGGAAAGTGTTCAACGAAAGCTAGAAGCTAATTATTTTTGAATACCGTAAAGGCGGGTTATAGAACATATTACTAAATTATTATAATTACTATCGTTATTATTATTTTTAAATTTCTCCATTAGTTCATTTTTCATTTTTTAATTTTCAGTTTTTGAGAAATAACCGTACAGTTTAGATAACTAAAATGAACACTGTTTTAAAGTCCTTTACGACAGGTTAAACCAAATGAGTTTAGTCGTTCTGAAATTATTTGCGCAAATGTTCAAACACTCCCCATCACTTTTATTTAAGAGATAGACCAAAAGCATTTCAATAAAAAGAATCGAATTTAGCCCTGTTTTTCAACAGTGTCCTTTTTACCTATCTGTAAATTCAAGAATGCTATTGTGCCCCGTTGCGGCCATTCTAGAAACTAAAAATAGCATTTTCAGCATAGTGTGCTTCTTAATTCGCCACTCGGTATGTATTATTATGGTAGGTTTGCTCATACTTAAATTGTAGTTTAGTTTTTTAAAGTTGTTTGAAATTTTGTCTTTATTTTAACTAAAATGTACGTGATAATCCGTTTTTTTTATTAATCCGAACTAGTCGTAGCCCTAATTGATCTGGATTATCGAGTCTCTACTGTATTTTACGACGAATTAAATGTTTATTAGTAAAAACCACTTGAACTTATTTTAATTATTTAATTAAAGAGTTGGAATTCAACGTATTTTATTTGGTTCAGTCAAAGCTGTGTTCATAAGCATGTGCACCAGGAACTACATTTTCTATCCACCGTTAAACTTCTTCACCCCGTATATCGTAAATCGAAAAGCTCCGTCTGGATTTGGCTTAAGGACCGGAACAATTACGTCCCGTCCGGCCTTCCAATACGATATTGCACATGGATGCATTATTCATGGCAGCGAGACATCATCAATTGAAAGAGATACGATTGCGGAATTCTTAAGCGATCCAATGGTTGATGAAATAAGATATTTCGGACTTTCCTTGTATTTATTATTTACTTCAATGATTGAACCGGTCAGGCATCTCGAGTCGTCTTCAAGTGAATACTAAATAAAGTTTGTGCTCACCAGCGGTATACACTATGCCTAAGCCAACGAAACGTGACCTTCAAACAAACACGATCCAATTCAGATCGGCTAGATCAGCTCCGAAATAATCCATCTTGACGTAAGGCAAGATATTGACAACAGTTTTCCAGTGTCACTAACAAGATTTCTAACTTTAATATTATACAGGGATTGGGCACTTTTAAAAGAGAAAATCCTCTTGCTAAAGAGATAAAAATTAATGTAGGATTTTTTTCAATGAAACTTCCACTGGCTACTTTTATACTATTTTCCTGTTGGATACTTCAGAGCTAGAACTGTAATTTAAACAGTGTTCTTTGGTTGTAATGTTGTAATGTAATGTTTAAGAAATCAGTACTTAGGTGTAGTACGGTCCATACACTTCGTCTGCTTTTATCTTCTTGTAAAGCTTGTCATGTCCACTGTGCTTTTTCCTGGAAAATAATCTGAGTTGATTGAATATTCAGTATAATTTCCAGCGCTGCAGTGAGGGTCTTGTCGCCTCTATCCGCATTGTCCACCAGACAACCGCTCCATATGCTATCATTGATCTTACTACCTTCCACACCGTCCTAGTACAATTGTTGCCCTAAGAGGGATCTTTTGAATGTGCGAATGTACAAATCTTCTGGATTCCTCCTGCATCGGTTGTTGCTGTCGGTTGCCAATCATGGACTTTTTCAGAGCTTAACTGAGACTGGTTTGTATTCTACTCCGTACTTGCTATACTGTTTGAAGAGAACGTAGCTAGAGAATGGATATGAACATTGTCTCGGATGATTGATTCCCATATCCCATATAAGATTGTTTGGTTGCTTATTGATTTCTAGAGATTCTCAGATTTTTCTTTAGTAGAAGAATTGATTACATTCAAGAATTGTAGTTGGATCGAATAAAATTTGATGTCCGGTTTCATGATTGTGTTCGGCAACTGGTGAGTTCATTTAGTAGTAGTCTTAAGGCTTTTTCATGTTCTTTTAGCCTAGTTGATATTTTTCGTCTTGTTTCTCCAACGTAAACTACTGGCATCCTAAATGGAATTTTGTCTTTGACGGATCGGAGATTTTTGGACAAGTGGTAAATCTGGTGTTAACGTTATATTTATTAAGAACTTTTGATATGTGGCAAGTGTGGGGGTGCTTTCGAACTCATTTTTTCTTTGGAAAGTTGCGGTTGGGGAATTTTGTGATGGAACGCTTAATATTTCTGATGGAGAATTTATTAGAGTGAAGAGCAAATGTTAGGTGTTTTAATTCTGGGTTCAGTAACTCGGGCTGAGATAGTTTTACGTCTCTGTAAACAAGAGAGTTGATAATCGATGATTTTTTAGGCGGATGGCGATGTGACAATGCATTAAGTTATCGATGTGTGACAGAATGACCCAATGGCTAGGTCTGACTTTGTATTCATAAAAATATATAAGAAGGGGAGATTATTATTAGTTTCTAATTTAATGGGCAAATGTATGTTGGGGTCTATAGAGTTTAAATTTAAATAATATCATCAAAGAAGCGTTTCCATAATTTTGTTTTTAGGTCGAATGTATCAAGGGCTTTCTTCTCGAAAGCTTTCATAAAAATATTTGCGATGATGGTGCTAGTGGAGAACCCAGAGCAGAGATATTTTCCTAGAGAATATGTTGCAGAACCAATAATGCTATCAATAGGTCAAAGAGATAATCCTGGTATCTGTATCTTAGGGAGTCCTTTAAAAGGTGGAATTTTACAGGCGTTGGGGCTGAGAACATGGATATTTGAAATTGCATTTTAAAAAAATCACTTTGTAACCTTTGTAATAATATAATATTTTTCATACTAATATTTTATGGGAGACCCTGTATATTTTGCGATAATTGACAAGAACCTTTCCGTTCTGCTCCAATTTTTTTCTGAACTTTGAACAAGTAGGTTTATGACAGTAATCCAGAGGACAAATGCGTGGCCAAGTTCTGATTTGGGTTGTAACAGTAGCTGTGTTTTCGTTTAACCTGTCAAATAAATTTTAAAAAATTGACAGGACACGCGTACTCTATCGCATTTTTCTGGAAACCGCTCGCATCATTGCATTTTTGTGGAACTAAGTGGAACATACGCGTTCATCTGATTACTACGACGGGTAAATATCTGGGGATTTAAAATGTAGAGGATGTCGTATACAAAAAAAACATGTTTTCATCTTCAACATTATATTCCGCGCAAAAACTTGCTTTGGAAAATATCCGAAATTTCAAACTGCGATTCGATTGTGATTTTGACTTACTTACACCTTAATATTGTTTCATTTAGATATTCTCATTTCAATTTAGATTAAATTATTAAATAAAATCAACCGATTTCCTCTTACGATACACTGTTTTTGTTGTTACATCGTTGGTTGCCTATAGCTTCAACGGCCACCATTTTAAGCATCGGTAATTCCTGAATATGACAACCATTTGCTTTTAGATTTTGACATTTTGCGATGACTAATTTAAATCGAAAACAATACGAGCCCTCATTTTTGTTAGTACAAACGAAAGACGATGCTTACTTTTTAAAGCCCAGAGTTTGAAACTCTTGAGGTCTTCGGTAAATATTCGGCTGTCTCTTCGACAGGATTCACTGACGTCAGCGACACGGCTTAGATCAAACGGCGGTAGTGACGACGTCATGAGCCTATAGATTTTGTCGGTGGTGCGTCTGTAGCCTGTGTCTGCAAACAAAAAATTTAACAATACGAGAAGAATAAATAGAAAATAGATTCGGAAATGTTAACGTCCGGCCAAAGCATTTGGAAATTTGGGATGCCCTTGACCCGTAGATAAGACTAGCGGTTAATGGCTTTGCAATTTATTCGAACATAAATGACAATTATCAGCCGGACAATTAAACTATTGGCCAATATAAGCAAGGTCGGTGACCACGATATGCAGCGATATAGACAAATTTCTAGGACTCAGGTTTCTTAAATTTTTAAGTGCGAATTAACCACGATACTGTACGATACCGGGAATTACCAATTGACGCGTTGGCAACTTTTAAGTATGGAGTTATAACAGAATAAAAATAACGCATTACAATACTCGATAGTGATTCATTATTGCCTTTCATAAAATTATTTTTCTAAAAACTGCTCCAAACTTAAATTCACCTGTTTTACGAGTGTCATTAAGGAAAAGGCATAAAAGTCAGGCACCACTATACATGGAACGACCTTCATTTTTTTTGTCATTCCTTACGAACAAAGTTATACATCCTTTTCACATAAAACCGCGTAAACTGATTAGAATTCAAAACAACGCGAATTAGACAACGCCATATTCATATTCGGGTAATTGCGATCTATGTAGGATTAATTGGTTGGTTATTAACATAAAGGCGTGCCTTGTCATCATCGTTGATTACCGACCCAATAAAGACGAACCTTGGATTCCCCTATAGCTCAGGTGTTAAGATTAAATACCGAGATTTAAAAATAGTATATCGGAAATCGGATAGAGCATTTTGGTCGCGTTGAATTTCCCGAAAAACAGCGTATCTCGAGACTCTACATTTTTAGGAGAATTGTATTGTGTGCAAAGATCCTATTTTACTTCGAAGATACTTGGTTTACGAGTTACTTTGTTAGTTTATAAATAAAGATTGTTGTTTACGTGTTAGTGTTATAATAATAATAACAACAATAATAGTAGTAATAATTAATAACAATTACATTGACAAAATTATAACACGAATTAAATTTGATACCAAAGGATTAAGAAAGTCAGATATCTGGCGTAGATACTGTTGCAGCCCAAAATTTAGTATTAAATTAACTGAAGAAAACTCATGGCATCTAGAGTGGGGGGAAATTAAGGACAAGAAAGTATCTAAGGAAAATTTTAATACTGTAGGGACGAAAATTATTACATCTGCAAGAGCGCTTTCACAACTATAACCAAATCTAAAACCCGATTCTTTCTGGTACTGTCAACAATAAGAAATGGTCACAATTGCTTATCCATTATTTTCACCATAATTTTTAGAGTCTAGGCTAAATACTAATATAGCGCAAATGAGCAAACTCTGCAGGTTTTTTATTTTAGCTTTGGGTATGACCTAGGACTTGTGCTTTTTACAATGCAGGACAGAATACATTCATGAATGGGTGGACAATATACTATCAAATTGTAGGGCAACACAATTGCACTAAAGTGACTGTCAGTTGCCGTTCGCTTATTCTTAATAGTATTAACTATAATAAGAACCTCACCGTTAAACTAAAATTAAAGTGTTCATTAATGCCATCAATAACGTTATTTTTATAAAAGTTAAGTAGTTTTGGGTTGGACAAGGTATTAGAGGCAGTGGAATTTATAAAAAAATAATATCATCTGCCTTTTTAAGCATGAGTTGTTTGTTTACTTTTTATTATATTAAGTTTTTTTTGTTCTGTAGATATAAAATTTTGAAATTTTGTTAGCAAATAATTTTTTTCCTAACGGTCATTGCTGTGTAGTTTCTAATAACTTTATGGCAATTATAATAATTATAATGTACAGAGAACTTGAATTGTTTATATCTTTTTCATGCTTTTTTTCATAGTTTTAGTAGTAGCATTCTCTTTGTAAAACTTTTTAATGGGTGCATGCTTCTCCAATACATTCAGTACATAGTCATTGAAAAGTGAGATTTTCTCATCAATACTACCTGATAAGTACAAAGCAGTACCAAGGAAAAGACAATAAAATGAATAAATACTATAAACAGGGACGAGGCCAATAATAATTTGGCAGCGGAGAGAAATTACCATAAAGACTGGAATTCTGATATTTTTTAAGACCATTTTGGGTGAAATGATAAAATATCTTCCAACTGATTCACTGATAGTTATGGATAATTCAAATTCAATCATTCACATTAGAGAAGACCTTCAACCTATAAAACACAACAAATTATCGACTAATAATATTGAATTTAAAGATAATTTAGTAAATAAGGGACATATAACTTAAATGGGAGCAAGGGAAAGGATTTGAAGCGAGTCATACCGTTAAATAAGTCACTGAGGAAGTGTTTTGCTATTATTGTATTTTATATTAAAAGTATAACATGATGCCACTGATGCGGTATAGACCCTTGCGGAACTCTGAAGTCTGAACTCTGAATGTAGTTTTATGTTGATCGTTATAGAAATTTCCGGCCAAATTACGAGTTCGATTTTCGCCGGTCCTCTTCACGTCACATTAAGCGACAAATTGTGCGGTAAGTATGTCTTACGTACTTATTACGCAACTGCTAAGTGGTTCAACGGTTCTCGATGGCCAAACGACGGAAACATTGAACGCGGCGTTTACTTACGTCTTGGTGTAATTATCTATGATTTCTGATTTATTGCAGATATATTTTCCGTCAATATAAAGGCGTTTTGCATTACGTGACCTTGACTTTCGTTTAGAACGGAGTAATTATAACGATTGTTAATAGGTTGCAGATTTGTAAAACGCATAAAATCCGAACTTATTAGCAATCGACACGTTCAGATTAGTTTGACCAACGAAACGAAGTGAAAGCGTGTGTCTAAAAAGATGGGTCACCGAGTAAAAGATGAATTTTATTTATCTACCAATTAAAAGTCGACGAATCGTTAGGTGGTTATCGCAGTCATAACCTCTTGCATGAATAACTAGGTACCGGGTGTCCCAGTAAGACTAGCCCTCGACTGTAGAGAATTATTAACCGTATGACCGTTGGATGATGATCCTGATTTCTGGAAATTTAGCTTTTTGAAACCAAAATTGGATATAAAGCAGACGCCTGCAACTACAGACAGACTTTTCCAAAGTAAATCATAGTTTATTGCTCAGTAAGTTGAAAGCAGCTGGTCTTCAGTGAACTATTCCAATAATTTTCCTAACCCCTCTGGTGTTTCACCTGGGTCCCTTAATATTTATTAATGACATTGCTGATTGCATTAAATCTTCCAGATTTTTTTGTTTTGTGATTGATGAATGTAACATGCTATCGGGCTGTTTCCTCTTAGCATGATTTTCTTAAACTTCAATCTGACCTTGACAGACTTGTTATCTGGTGTGAGCTCAATGTGATGGATCTGAACATAGTAAAACGTTACTAAAAAAACAATATAACTGTGTTCAGCTATTGCATAAATATTTCTGCATTGTCTCAGGTCTCAAAGATCATGATCTTTTAGTAATAATGGACTCCACTTTATCGTTTGTTAGTAATATCGATAGAATAGTTTTAAGAGCACTGCTTGACTTCATTAAAAGAACATCATCAGACTTCACACGTATTTCTGCTATTAAAGTATTAACCTGGTTAGACCTTTATTAGAATAAAGCTTAACAGTGATGAACCCTCTTTATGAAAGTGATATTAATAGGATCGAGCAAGTACAAAGAAAGCTTATGAGGTATTTGGCTTATAAATCAAACATTCTTCCCTGTGCGTGTGTGTGAGAGATTTGAACTACCGACATTGAGGGTTAAAAGAGATCAGGCGGTCTTAAGCTATTCTTTACGCCCATTAATTATATGGTTGATTGTCTCATTTTGCTTTATTCAATGATGCCCTCTGTTTCATCTAGAAATACCTAATTCCTAAACGTATTTTATTGTCCTTTTAGGCATACGAATGTTCGACTTAATTCGTTCATCCCATGTGTGGCAAAAATGGCTCATAATCTAATCACCTTCTTTTTTTTTAAGCCAGCTTTTATAGTTTTGTGGGTTTCTCAGAGCGTCATCCGATATAGGTATAAAATATAGTAATTTATTTACATATATATTGATACTTCTGTTTTCGTTTTGTATTTAAGTTATAATGAAATAATTTAAAGGGGTTTAGTTATATTGATATATCTTGCTCTAAAAGTGGCTAAGTCCCTTTAATAAAGTGGGTACTTGTCCTGGCATTTTAACTTACTGCTACGTTATAAACCATAACAATATCCATGCATTGAACATTGGACCCTAGAAGGAGTTGTTTTACTATCCAAGTAACATTAATGTTCTTTTATTAAAAAATTTAAATGCACCAAAGAATTTTAGCTAATAGTAAAGATAAATGAAACCTTAAAAATTCTGCGAAAACCACATCCACAGGGTGAGTTTTTTGTTTAGTACAGTGACGCCGTAAACCATAGCAGATACGAAGAAGTTTAACTGGACAAAGAATTATTATAGTTTTTTAATCTCTACTCAAATTTTAATAGTAGCAGAAAAAGACAAATACAAAAGAGTAAAGGGGAAATTTTATGCTTATTAAATTTTATCTTGATTATAAGAGAATATTACGATTCCAACGATAAACATTTTTTTTTCTAATACGCGTTGTAGGTTAATATTATTCGTCTAGTTGTCTATGGACAAAATATTATTACATAAAATAAAAAGTTGGCATAGTAATTTATTTAGTTTTTCCAAAACATTTTAAGACAGAATTAGTTGCATTTCTTACAGATCGCTATTCAATATTACTAAAAACTTCATTTGCAGCAGCCAGAAGTATATTCCTTGTAGCCTGGGTTTCTTTGGAAACCTTGTTTTTTACAGCTTCTCACAAAAAAGTGTGAAACCGAAATATCGGGGTGGCCATAAAACAGTGCCGTTTCTTCCTATTCAGCAATTTGCCAAAATAATCCAAAATAAAACACGCATTGGAAAAAAAATCAAAAACAACCATAGAAAATTTATTTTCAAAATTAATTAA